CTGAACAGCCAGACCGGGTAAAATGTTCAGGGAAGGTGCCTGATGCTTGGGGGGCTACGAACCAGGCCAAGTTCATGCCGAATTTTGGCTCTTGAACCAGTCTGTGCCCATCTCTATGGTCCATCACCTAAGGAAGGGATCCCTTTAAGAGATCACATCCCTCCTCTTTAGGTTGATGCCCTCCAAACTTGAGATTCTCACTCTCCACAGCAGCAGAAGAGCTGTCAGCACAGGAGTCAGACTGTTTTGGTAAGTCCCTGAAGGTCTCATCCCCAGGCCTCTCTCTCTGTCTCAGCTTCTCCAGGTCGGCAGTCCGCTTCCCTGAGAGCCAAAAGCTCCAGGCATTGAGCACATACCCATGATTTCTGCCCAGTGGGTAGATAATCATAAATGTGACACTCCCTGCAAAACACTGAATAGCCCCTGCTCCCTTGCTGGCTTTCTACCTTCATAACTGGCTAGTTTAAAAGTATTTTAGAATGAAATAGGGTGCTTACCTGAATTTGTGTGTATTTCAGCATCAGCAACAGCTTTGCCCGGCTTCAGCTGGTGTAGCAGCTGCACCCATTCCTGGTTCAATTTGATCTAGCCACAGTGATCCATGCCTTAGTTACATCTAGACTGGACTACTGCAGTGTGCTCTACTTGGGGCTAGTCAAAGAGTGTTCAGAAGCTGCAACTAGTGCGAAATGCTGTGGTTAGACTGCTGGTCAGGGCCAGTTACCAGGATCATGTGACCCCAATCCTACTGTAATTACATTAGCTTCTGATCTTCTCCCAAGCCCTATTCAAGGTGTTGGTTTTGACCTTTAAAAGCCTACATGGCTTGGGACCCAGATATCTGAAGGACTATTTTCTCACTTATGCTTCTTCCCGGGAACTGAGATCACAGGAAGACGCCCTCTTGACTGTCCATCCAACCAGAGAAACTTATCTGGTGGGTACACGAGAGAGGGCCTTTTCAGTGGCAGCCCCACAATTATGGAACAGCCTCCCGAGGGAGCTGCACCTGGCCCCCTCACTCAGTCTTTAGGAGGCAGTTGAACACAGTTTTATTACTTGATTAGTTCTTCTGCCTACTGGCTGTAAGCTGCCTTAAGTTCCTACAAGGTAGAAAGGCAGCTAATAAATTTTTTAAATAAATTAAATAACAAAAGGTAAAGGTTCCTTTGCTCAAAAGCCAGTCGAATCCGACTCTAGGGTTGTGGTATGTTTTTATTTGTTTTTCAAAATGTATCTAATTTTTTTAGATATTTGAACAGGTGTTTCTCATCTTGTGTTAAGCACAGGTCTTTGTGAGCATTTCTGACTTATGTCAGTTTTTATCCAATTTATGTTGCATGTAGAGAGATGACTGATGTCACAGAATATTACCCAATAGGTAGCTGGCTTGTAAAGGCACTTAAGAACAAGAACAATGCTTGTCAAACTGTGTTAAGTACCTTCAAGTTACTTCCGATTTCTGGTGACCCTATGTATTAATGACCTCCAAAGTGTTGTATTGTTAACAGCCTTGCTCAGGTCTTGCAAAGTGAGGTCTGTGGCTTCCCTTATTGAGTCAATATATCTCATATCGGGTCTTCAGCTTTTCCTAGCATTATTGCCTTTTCCAGTGAATTGTGTCTTCTGTTAATGTGACTAAAGTCCGATAGCCTCAGTTTGGTCATTTTAGTTTCTAGGGAGAGTTCAGGCTTGATTTTGTCTAGAACCCACGTATTTGTCTTTTTGGTGGTCCATGGTGTCCCTGAACCTCTCCTCAGCACCACATTTCAAATGCATGTGCATTCTTCATTGTCCAGCTTTCACACCCATACATAGTAATAGGGAATACTGTAGTGTGTGATTATCTTTATCTTGGTCACCAGGGACAAATCCTTACACTAACTCCTTTATGGCTGCTTTCCCCAGTTTCAGTCTCTTTCTGATTTCTTGGTTGCAATCTCCCTTGTCATCAATGATTGAGCCAAGGAATAGGAACTCTTGAGCAATTTCAGCTTCTTCATTGTCAGCCTGAAAGTTTTCCCAGTAGTCCTTTTGTCTTATTGATGTTCAGATGTAAGCCTGCTTTGGCACTTTCTGCTTTAACCTTCAGCAGTTGTTGTTTCAGCTCTTCACAATTTTTTGCCAGTAATTATGGTATTATCTGCATATCTCAAACAATGTTCCTTCCACCAATTTTCACTCCAATGTCATCTAAATCTAATCCAGCTTTCCTTATGATATGTTCTGCATATAGATTGAAGAAACAAGGAGATAAAATACATCCTTGTCCAACACTTTTGCCAATTGGAAACCATTCTGTTTCTCCGTATTCTGTCCTAACAGTAGCCTCTTATCCAGAGTATAGGTTGTCTTTTAAAATCAACCATAGCTTTTCATGATCCACACAATCAAAAGCTTTGCTGTAATCTATGAAACACAAACTAATTTTCATCTGAAATTCTCTTGTATGTTCCAGTAACCACCATAAATTTGCAGTATGATTTCAAGTGCCTCTTCCTATTCTGAATCCAGTTTGAGCATCTGGCATTTCTTGTTCCATATATGGTAACAATCTTTGTAAGATCTTGAGCATCACTTTACTTGAGTGAGAAATTAATCTAGTGGTCTGATAGTTTCTGCAGTCTTTGATATCTCCTTTTTTCCAGAATTGTACTGTAGGTCAAACATTTCAAGTCTGTGGGCCATTGTTTTGTTTTCCATATTTGTTGACATTGTCTTGTTAAGATTTTGATGAACTCCATTTCTGTGGCTTGAAGTAGCTCTATTGATATCCCATCTACTCCTGGTGATTTGTTATTCCCTGTTGCATTGAATTCAGCTTTCACATCACTTTCTAAAATTGCAGGTTCTGCAAAAGATTCTTCTTGGAAGGAATCTGTCATCCTTTCATCTCTTCTGTATATTTTTTCAGTGTATTGTTCTCATCTTTTCCTTATTGTGTCCTGTTCTGTTATTGTATTTCCATGTTGATCATTTGGTATGCTTAACTGTGCTTTAAATTTCCCTTTGATTTCTTAGATCTGTTGCAATAGATCTCTTGTTCTTCCTTTTTGTTATTCTTTTCTGTTTCTTTACACTGGTAGTTATAATAGTTCTCTTTGTCTCATGTGTCAATAGCTGGAAGACTACATTCAGACTTCTGATTGTATTTCTGTCACCTTTTCTTTTTTGCATCTTGTCTATATTTAACAATTTAAAGAGTTTTGTCAGTCATCCATCAAGGATTCTCATTTCTTTTTGCTACAGGAGTAGACTTTGCATATTCTTCTTTGATAATATCTCTGGTTTCAATTCACAGTTCTTCCAGTTTCTGTTCACTTGAACTAAGTAATGCAAATCTGTTCCTAACATCGTCTTTAAACTCTTCAGGAATGGTGTTTTTAGATTGTATTTTGGCACTATGAATATTTTATTTCGTTCTTCAGCTTTATTCTCTGCCTCCTGTATGCTAAAGCTCAGTCAGCTAAGAAGTTTTATTCCTCCTCTGGCAATACAGGCCTACCCTGAAATCAGGTCTCCTGTGTTTTCTCATCTATTAGTTTCCAGTCAGCAGTCCACGTCTGCATGATTATCCTGCTTGCCACTAGTGGTCAGGTGACCAGTGTTCCTTCTAAGGTGAGTTAGTGTGAGCTAGCTCACAGTTTTTTAGCCTTCAGCTCACAGATTTTTGTCTTAGCTCAGGAAGGATGGCTCCAGAGCAATGTAATTTATGCAGTAGCCAAATCGTGCGCTCACAATTTTAATGCCGGTAGCTCACGAATTAGAATTTTTGCTCACAAGACTCCACAGCTTAGAGGGAACATTTAGGTCTCTTGAGGTTATACCATGTCCTATTTCAAGTAACTGGTATATTCTATGCTGGACTTTTTTGAGGTGGGCTTTGGGGACTGAGTCATAGTAAAACAGATATTTCTAATACAATAATGGGTCATTCTGTGTAACTGTGGATGTTATAATTTTAGTTATTTTTAATTAATAAATTACATGGATTTTCAGTTGATGCCACAATATTGAATGAATCCAAGTGATTCACATGAATGGCAGCTGTCTAGAAATAATTTATTAATAATAATTGATTCACACAAGTTATAACGGTTCATTTTTGCAGCCATATGTGAACATTTGGGGGGTATAATTGGTTTTAAGTACTGTAAAGAAGTTTATTAACCCATCTAGGTACATCAATCTGAGCAGTATAGAATTCAGAATCTTTTATGACACATGAATTACCATGGAATGAACTTACTGAAGTTTGAAGTCATACCCTACCACAAATTTTGTTAGTCTTTTAAGATGTTACCAGACTCTTACTCTTTTCAAAGAGAGCAGTGAATCATGAAAGGTCATACCCTACCACAAATTTTGTTAGGCTTTTAAAGTGTTACCAGACTCTTACTCTTTACTACTGCTACAGACAGGCTAACATGGCTGCCCATCTTATTCTGCTCTGCGAAAAGTCTTCACTTCCATTACTATTGAGATGTATGTCTGATTAATAACAAATAAGTAATCAGCCATGTATATGTTCCTGTTGAGGATAATGGTGAATGAGTCACTGTGTTTCAGTTTATAAGAATCTTTTATGACACATGAATTACCATGGAATGAACTTACTGAAGTTTGAATGGTTTTTTTTGTAAAATGGAAAGCCATGTAAATACTTCAATAGTTTTGTCACATGCCCAAGATCTAGTTTGGTTTTTATGTCAGATGATTTAGTGTGACTGATGTACAAAGTCCAGTGTTTAATATATTACTGGTATCACTATCCTGGGAGGAGCGCGCAGAAATATTTTTGCCTTGGATGAAGTTTTTTCATGCTGTTGTAACTTTTGTGGTTACCTAAAATGTTTCTCTTGAGAGGATGGTAAGCTAGAAGAGGCACTGGGTTAGAGACTGAGGACCAGGTAAACAATTTAGATGAAGGATTCTCAATTTTAAATTTGAAGTGTAGTCTTTTGCATTATTCTTATATGTTGCCCTCTGTATCTTTTCAGGGGCCACTTGCTGCACCAGGGGTGAGGATATTCTTTTGTTTATGTAATATCTCAGACTTTCTGTTCCATGCACACCCACAGTACAATGACCAGTTCTCAGGAACCCCTGAGCTGGTCTTCTTCTACAACAGTGATCACCAAGACCCTAAGTGAAGACAAAGATTTTAGTGGGATGCATGGAGAACATATGCCCGCTGGTCTTCACTCTTCACCTGAGATTATAGAAGATGTACAAGACAAGGGTTTGTTTCAGAGCAATATATCAGAGAACATGAGCAGCCCAGTTGCCACAACAGTACTGACCAGCATAAGTGAGGATTCCAGGGACCAGTTTGAAAATAGTGTGCTACAGTTAACAGAACAGGATGAATTAGAAACCACTGTTAACCAGGAAAATGACAGCGTGGGGAGGGAGACCAACAATGGAACAGATGATATCAAGATCCAGTTCAACAGATCAGGCAATGGAAATGGTGGATTTCTTGAAGGACTCTTTGGCTGTTTGAAGCCAGTATGGAATATTATAGGCAAAGCTTACTCCACTGACTACAAGCTGCAACAACAAGGTAAATTTCCATGGCAAAATCATGTATTTTTGTGGGCTTTTAAAAATATTGTCAAAGTCAGTTGAACTTAGTGGTAGGGGGGAGGATATTTGTCTCTATAGTGTCATTAAATCCCCATAGCCTCAAGTTCATCTTTTTGCATGTGTGCATCAGTGTTTCATATTCCACTCACTTTCAATAGCTCTAAAGGCAGGGAGCTTTCATCCAGAAGTCCTATAAACTTGAGTAGCCATTTCTCTTATGTCTCAGTTGCTCCTTGGGTATTTCATCTGGGGTTTGTAAACCTTGACATAACATGATTCCTGCTTTGTCAAGAAGCAAATAGGATAAGCTTCTTCAGGGCTTGGGGGACGACGATGCGTCGGAACAGAGTCCCAGAACCTCTTCGACAAAATTCTTTTAAAACTGTTTAAAAGTTCATGAGTTTTTAGTATACAGATTGAAAATTTCTTTTCCCTCTTGAGACTTCCGGCACCTCTTTAAAAAGAAAAAAGAAAAAAAAAAGCCCTGAGCTTCTTAAAAGAGTAATAAGCAAAGCAAATATAAATCATACAAATCAATGGCAACAAATCAGCTCAAACCTGAGCTGTCATCTGTTACTTATAACTATGTAGCACATGATGTATGATACCAGGTCTCTCTTTGCTTAATTCCTTTCCCTTTTCTCCTCTCTTCCTGCAACTTTCTTAAAATGAGGTAAATGATTTTCTTTCCGTTATAACTGAGAAATTGAGCTGTGTATCAAGAAACAGCTTACTGGAATAGAAATCTTTAAGACACCACTGGACTTCGGTTTTGTTTTACAAAAAATGGGGCAATTGTGATCTACCCATTTACTTGATAGCTGGGGAAAGCTCCATTACAGTGAGAATGAATGTTCAAGGCTTCCTTGTTGAAACAGGGCATCCCTTGCTTCCATAAAGTCTGTAGTGTGCACCAAAACTACTAGATCATCTGTTTCTTATCTCTGAAATCAGGCCACTCTGGGGAGGCAATGTTAAGGTATTTACCCAGGTCACAGAGACTTAGTGTTTTTTTTAAAATATTGCATACCCTGTAGGAATCTCAAAAAAAAAGTTTCTGGTGGCACCTGACATCAATGCTTAAAAAGTCTTCTTTCCCCACACCAATATTCATAGAGCTAAAACAGTAGTCAGTGCCCCCATAGGCACCCCCCCCCCAAGACGAGGGCAAAGTTCTCTTTTTCAGTAGTACAGTTCCAAAGAATCCATGTATCCATTATGGTGGCTTCTTCATCTTGCCTAGCTTATGTCTGGCAAACCAAATTCATAATGGATGCAGTCAGAGTGCCTTCATAGGCAGAAGACTGTGTTTTTCCTGTATGTCTTCAGAAAGGGAGGAGAAAGGGAACTTGGACTATAAAATCAGAGAATCAAATTAAAGCTGGGAGAAGATTGGGCTTCAAAAGAAAAGTTAGACTTCAGAGATCAGATTTCCCGTATCTAGATTGTTTCTAGTCAGCGTCTCTAGCTGCTAATATGAACTACTAGAATATTCCTTTAGGTTAAAGAATTAGGGGTGTTACTTCTCCTAATTCAGGATTTCCTGCTTGGGGGCCAGGAGGATCTCTTGGTTACTGCCTGCCATCCCTAACATCTATAGAAGGACAGATGAAGAGATGAATGTAATTTTTCTTGTTCTCTAGCATTCTATTGGTTAATTAAGTTCAAGATAGCAGATCACAAGGGTAGAAAGTGGCCTGTTACATGGTTGCTTGTTGGAAGCTATAATAGTGTGCTTGTTGTTATCAGATACATGGGAGGTTCCTTTTGAGGAGATTTCTGAGCTGCAGTGGCTGGGCAGCGGAGCACAGGGAGCTGTTTTCTTGGGTAAATTCCGAGCAGAGGAGGTGGCCATCAAAAAAGTGAGAGAACAGAGTGAAACGGATATCAAGCACTTAAGGAAGCTGAAGCATCCTAACATCATTGCTTTCAAGTAAGTCAACTTTTGATTAGGAAGACTATTTCTACAGCAGTGTTATCTGGTCAGACTTAGTGGTTGTCCTCATGGTCAGCAAAATTGTGCTTTGAATACGGCAGCTTCCTTATATCATCTGATCTGCAGTAGTAACGAGAAAATCTCATTTACAGGACAAAATGCTATAGCCATGCATGCTGATGGTATACTGTGTTCTTTTTTGTAAGGATGGTAGGGGGAAAGGAAAGTAGGTAGAAGTTTTGAAAGTTATCGATCTTCCATTAATGATGATGGAAGCTTTAATGAACTCTCTGAGAGTGCTATGGTGTAATTGCCTTCCATTGTGTAATGGAATAATAGTAGCCATCTTCAGCAATATTGATCATGAATGACAAAAACAGTGGGTTGGAGTCTGTCAGCCTGTTGCATTGGGAGTGGTACTTTCATCCAACACTCAGATTACTTTGCTGACACAAGACTGTGGAAGGAAACTGGAGAAATGTGCTGCCACTGGTGAAATGGAGTGATAGGATGCAGCTCTATGCATTCAGTGTAAACTGTGGGCTGTCCTCAGTCCCTTATCATTGCAAGCATTTCCCCCTGTCTTGTTTCAGGAATGCATCATTGATAAAACTGAAGGACTTTAAATATGGACTGATTCAATGGCTGCTTTCACACCAAGGGTTTTCCACATTTCAGCTGCCTGACTGGAGCCTTTTTTCATATTTCCACTTGATTTCATCCTTTATTTGTGCACAGGCCATTTTCTACACACAAAAAGTCTACTTTATTTTAAACCTGTAAAAAAATATATGGTGTGACCTGGGCAGGACAGTGAGCAGCTAGTCTCAGTTCCTCTTTTCATTTGTTGATGATTGCAAGGGATCAGTCCCTTGCAACAGTTAGCAAGAAAATCACTGGCCTTTTAAATAGGTAAGGAAGAGAAGATGTCTGGAGGTACCTCTGTAAATATGTGGAGGTTTTTTTAAAAAAAAAAGGTATTGTTACTGTTGTGCAATGTTAGGCATGCTGGTGGAAGTCCCCCCCCCCTTTTTTTAAACCAGAAGAGAATCCTCCACACCTCAGTCTATCTTCTGGGCAGGGGACAGGAGGGGATTGTTCCTCAAAATAAATTAAAACAGTGTGTGTGGAGAATCCTGAGGATCATGTGAGAACACAGCAGTGGTGGTCAGGCTTCAGTGCACGTTGGTTGTGAAAGGGAAACCACAGTTAGCAGTGAAGAGAAAAACAGGTCATATGCCATCTAGAATCTCCTTGGCAAGAGCGCTTTCATGCACCATCATATTAGTAACCTGACCACCATGGAAAAACACTCTGGTGAGGAAGCAGCCATTGTTTCATCCCCGGCATTCTGCCCCGTAAAGGCTCCAAATAACTTTATAATTGAGTGGGGTTTTTTAGAACTGAACAGTCATACCCTACCACAAATTTTGTTAGTCTTTTAAGGTGTTACCAGACTCTTACTCTTTTCAAAGAGAGTAATGAATCATGAAAGGTTACCCTACCACAAATTTTGTTAGGCTCTTAAAGTGTTACCAGATTCTTACTCTTTACTGCTGCTACAGACAGGCTAACATGACTGCCCATCTTATTCTGCTCTGCGAAAAGTCTTCACTTCCATTACTATTGAGATGTATGTCTGATTAATAACAAATAAGTAATCAGCCATGTATGTATGTTCCTGTTGAGGAGAATGGTGAATGAGTCACTGTGTTTCCGTTTATAAGGTCCCATTGTTTTAAGTTTGTCTTTTTCATCTATAGTTCTATTTTATGTTAGGGGAGTTTGCACTCAGGCACCATGCTACTGTATAATAATGGAGTACTGTGCACATGGACAGCTGTATGAAGTGTTGCGGGCAGGTCGGAAGATCACACCTCAGCTACTTGTAGACTGGTCCACGGGAATTGCTAGTGGAATGAACTATTTGCATCTTCATAAGATCATCCACAGAGACCTCAAGTCACCTAAGTGAGTTTCTAGTGTGTATTAAGAATAAGAAATAGAACTGAATGTAAATTAAGCTTGAATTGCTATAATAGTGCAAAACATTCTCATGCTTTGTTCTGTTTTGTCTCTCTTCAGTGTATTAGTCACTCACAATGATACGGTAAAAATTTCGGATTTTGGCACGTCTAAAGAACTTAGCGATAAGAGTACAACAATGTCCTTTGCAGGAACTGTAGCCTGGATGGCCCCAGAAGTGATTCGCAATGAACCTGTCTCTGAAAAAGTGGATATTTGGTGAGCAGTGTTCACAAAAGGACTAGGCAATTTCTGTCCCCCCAACAGAACTTAATTTAACATCAGCCAAATATTTCATGAGTTGGTATTGGTACTGGTGTTTAGAAGTCATTTTTCTTCTTTGTGATCTTCCTTGCTAAATATAGTTTTCCAATTTCTTCATTTCCCTTTTTGTATCAGGTCATTTGGGGTGGTTTTGTGGGAACTTCTCACTGGAGAGATTCCATATAAAGATGTAGACTCTTCAGCCATCATCTGGGGTGTAGGTAGCAATAGCCTGCACCTTCCTGTGCCCTCCACTTGTCCAGATGGATTCAAGCTCCTTATGAAGCAAGCATGGTAAGAATTGCTGCTTGTGTAGTGTGCAAAACTGATTCTGTAACCTGCTTCCAGCCTTGCAATACTTGCGTCACACCATGTCCTCTGCAAATAATCAGCAGGTGTCCCCCTCCAGGACCCTTACTACAGTCCTGACCAGTGTTCCCTCTAAGCTGAGTTAGTGTGAGCTAGCTCACAGTTTTTTAGCCCCTGCCTCACACATTTTTGTCTTAGCTCAGGAAGGACGGCTCCAGAGCAAACTAATTTATGCCATAGTGAAATTGCTCACTCACAACTCTAATGCCAGTAGCTCACAGAGTAGAATTTTTGCTCACAAGACTCCACAGCTTAGAGGGAACATTGGTCCTGACTCTGGCAAAATTCACTTACACAACCCACAACAGAAATGTTGACAGAAAGTGTGCTTAGGGAGATACTATGTGAAAAATGGAATTTCCCTTGATTGGTTTCTTGCTAGTGAAGCATGAGGAAATGTGTAGATGGATTCTGAGTGTTTCTTGCATTGGATGAATGTGCTGCCACCAGTGAAATGGAGGAACAGGATCCAAGCTGTACATGATGTGAGTTGCTGTCTATGGATGACAGAGAATATGCATAGTCTGCATAGCAGATGGGTGTGAGCATAGTATAAGCAACCACACTGTGTCAGGAAGCGTATCAGTGTGAGTGCAGCATGCCTTGCTGCTCTAGGTTTAATGAAAGTTTACACCTTTTGTCCTGCATTGGACCCATGATCATTGCTCTGGATCCAACCCACTTTCTTTAAATTGACAACCAAAGCTGAGATCTCTCCCTGTACACACCACTCTAACAATGCAATGCCTATTCTTGTGCAAATATATAATAATTTATTGTAATGTGTTGGCTTGATAAAATGACTTCAGATTCATGAATACCTTAATATCGCCACAGTTTACTTGAAATGTCACTGTAAAGTGAAGTACTCCAGATATGTTCATAATCATACTTTTAACTTACTGCACAGATGGACTCCATTTATTTTCCAGGCAAAGCAAGCCCCGGAATCGGCCCTCTTTCCGACAGACACTTATGCACCTTGATATTGCATCTGCTGATGTGCTGGCCACCCCTCAGGAGACTTATTTCAAGTCTCAGGTAAATCTAGAAATGCTACTAGCAGCAGAATTGCACAGGTATGGTCAGCTTTCTACGTGTCTTCTAATGAGCTGTGTATACTTGAAAGAGGACGACAAAGCAGAGGCAAGGACTGATGGTACTAAATTGGTGTGTGTAGGGGAATATGAAGGGAAGAATTTTAGGTATGGGACTCAACATGTGTCTGAAGTACTTAAAAAAGAGGCACGGGGCAAAGAAACAAAGCGTGTTCTACAACAGAATGACATTTGCTCTGGCACCTTAGGTATTAATTATTTTACAGTACTATAAAGTTTCATAAGCAGCCTGCTTCTTCAGATGTATTCCATAAACCAAAAAAGTGTGGGTATTCAGAGAGATTGAGCTACAAGAGGGAATAAACCAGATAAAGATAATACCCTAATACAGACTACACCTTTATCACTGAAGTACTGTATAGGAGTAAAGAAAAGTGCGTCTGAGGCAAATGTTGTATGAAATTAATGTAACAGTGCAGGATATATGCCACAACAAGAAGAGACATTTGGATTCTTCTAATTTGTTATTGGCTTGTTGCAAGTCAGGCCAAGCACAGCAGTGCTTTTTTAAAGATAAGGAGAAGTCTATCTTAGGTGCAGCAATCTAACATCATTGTGGTAATTCAGCAAAGGTAATCCCTGTACAGAAGTGTGCCTGGATGCACATCCTGATCCCTATTTGCATGATGATGAACACTTGGGCCTTACTGAATTGGCTGGATGTAGATAGGGTGGGGGGGTTGGAGACGGGGGAAAGACAGGAGTTGATTGATCTGAAACAGAATCAGTTTTATAGACTAAGATTACCTCATTATAGTACTGTTCCTGTTAGCGATGGTTGAATGAGTGTAGGAAAATCAGATTAAATTACAAGGAGAGAGTGGGAAATTAGATGGCATCAGCCTTTCAGAATCTGAAATGGTATTGTTTGTATAAAGATACCAAGCAGCCTATAAATACTTGCTGAGGTCTCTTTTCTAATATGCAGGAGAAGCAGCCCTTTTTATGGCAGTTATCACTGCCATGAGTTATGTTGTGTAATCATTTAAATGTAACATTGTTCTGGCAGGCTGAATGGAGAGAGGAAGTGAAGAAGTACTTTGAGAAAATTAAAAGTGAAGGAACTTGTATACACCGGTTAGATGAAGAACTTATTCGTCGCAGAAGAGAAGAACTCAGGTCAGTTTATTTCTTAAGGACATAAAAGAAACCTGCTGGTTCAAATAAGGGCTCATCTATCCCAGTATCCTGTTGCCAACTGAATGTCCACCTAGATACTTATGGAAATCCCAGAAGTAGGGTGTGAAGGCAGTAACCTCTCCCCTCTTTGCCTTCCTCACTCCACCGACTGATATTTAGAAACCTATTGCCAGCAAGTCTGGAGGTTCTAATTGGCTAACGTTGATAGGTCTGTCCTCTATGCATTTGTCTTAAACTCCTTATAAGCTGTTGGCCATCATCACTTTGGGCGGCCAGTTGGACTCCAACCCAGAAGATCTGCACCGGGCTTTACAAGCCGTGGCTGGGTGGCTCAGATGGAGCAGGCTGAAATTAAACCCGGTGAAGATGGAGGTCCTGTCCTTGAGTCGGACCAGACCGGGGTTAGGGCTCCCACTTCCGACCTTCGACGGGGCACCTTTGGTGCCAGCTTCGGAGGTTAGGAGCTTGGGAGTGCTCCTGGACCCCACCTTAACGATGGAGGCCCAGGTGGCAGCCACTGCCAGATTGGCCTTTTATCATCTTCGGCTGGTATGGCAGTTGGTTCCTTTCCCCGACCGCAACGACCTAGCTACAGTGATCCATGCGACGGTCACCTCGAGGCTAGACTACTGTAACGCTCTCTACATGGGACTGCCTCTGTCGCAGAATGCTGCGGCCAGGCTGTTAGTGGGCGCTCCTAGGTGGGAGCACATCCGACCTGTACTGAAAGTGCTTCACTGGCTACCTATAGCATACCGGATTCGTTTCAAAGTGCTGGTGCTTACCTTTAAAGCCCTACATGGCCAGGGTCTGACATACCTGAGGGACCGCATTTCCCCACATATTCCCCAAAGAGCACTTTGGTCGGGGTCACAACACTGGCTGGTGACCCCGGGCCCCAAGGAGGCCAGGCTTGCGGTAACGAGGGCCAGGTCCTTTTCAGTGGCGGCTCCTATCTGGTGGAATGTGCTCCCGGAGGAGATCAGGACCCTGCGGGACCTCGTGCAGTTCCACAGGGCCTGTAAGACGAAGCTCTTCCGCCAGACTTTCAAGTAGGAGCCGCCACTGCCACTACCACCACCGCTCCAGTACAGAGTGATACCGCCGGAGGGCCAGGTAACATCTATCTATGGCCCTAGCTCTCCCCTTCTCTTTGCAAGATGTTGGGGAGTTTTATCTTTGCTGGAATTGATGGAATTGAATTTTAACTTTTATCTATTTTATATACTATATGCACTTTGTGCTGTGTGTAAGCCGCCCTGAGCCCGTTCGTGGGGAGGGCGGGGTATAAATACAATGAAATAAAATAAAAATAAAATAAATTGTAACAGCAGAGTATATAAATTAAGTATGTTGGGTGAAGAACTGTTCTTTGCCTGTCCTGAATCTAGTGCTAAGGTCTCACTGGGTAATCCCAAATTTCGATATTATAACTGAGGTTCCATAGGTTACAATTATCTGTATTGAGTGCTTCTTTCATAGCTAAACCTTGATCTTGTTTTTGCAATTTGAAGACGTTTTAATCATTCATTCTTGTCTTAAAAATTACATAGGATATACGTAATTCAGAAAGATTCTGCATAAGTACATTTTGTATATATACACTGTGGCTTATTGGAAAGGCCATTAACTGCACGTCTGAAACTGTCTGTCTTTGCATAGGCATGCACTGGACATCCGTGAGCATTATGAGAGGAAACTGGAGAGGGCCAATAACTTATATATGGAACTCAGTGCCATCATGTTACAGCTGGAGGTTCGGGAAAAGGAGCTCATTAAGTATGTAACTCACCTGTGTGCCCAGCATCATGTATTTATGGGAGATTATTATAACACGGATGGGAAGTGCTGTGATCCATTAAAAAAAAAAAAAAGGTTGATTTCTACAGTTGCATTATGCAGAGGGTATTTGCAGTGGCAGGTTTTTCCAAATCTTCCCCTTTCCACAACAGCCTTCTTTGGCCCCTCCAAAGGCATTGTCAATGGTCATAGAAGCCTCGTGGACACACACACAAAACCACCAGAGGGGGTCAGTTTTGTCCAGTTTCCCCCTTGTGCCAATACAAAGTTTGCTCTGCTGGACTTGCCCTACAGAGCTTTCTGCTGATGCAAACATAGGATCTCAACACCACACATTTCTATATCTGGGTGAAGGACACAGTAATTGACTTCTGCATTGGGGAGAAGTACACCCTTTAGGTTTCCCGTGGAAACTATCATAAATGAATATCCCTTGATGTTAGGAATTGATCTGTCTGTTTCCAAACCCTGTGTGGTCACTTAATTAATCCCCCTAGTAATGGGGTGTGGAATCCTTTCCCTTAGAATGCTGCACTTCCTTATGTTTGGAATTTTGATCTGCTCCACAGCCAGGACTCCTGGTAGTTTCAGTAGTTGCTTAGCAAATAACTAGTCTTGTTTCATTGCTGATATGGGCATTTTGCAAGATGTATAAGAAAAAAATTTTTGGAGAAAGTTATTGTTCTGTACTTTGGTAATTTTCTTTTGCAGTGGGAACATTAGGGATTTTATTTTTATTCCACAATGCAGGCGGGAACAAGCTGTGGAAAAGAAATATCCCGGGACTTACAAACGTCACCCAGTCCGACCCATAATCCATGCCAATACAATGGAAAAATTGATGAAAAGGAGAGGAGTCTCTCACAAGCATGGGGGTCAGATTAAACGGTGAGCCAAGTAACAAAACAGTTTTCCACTGGGGTAGTGTATTCTGTTTGCTTGAAAGGAAGACACCCCTGAATGTAAGATGACTCTCGCACCAAGATAGCGGTATGAACAAAGTTTTTAATTACATAGTAATCAGTACACAGCAGACAATATGGACTGCAGAATAAAATAATTATTTTCACTTTTCACACCTTTACTTGTAACTGTGCACAAGTAGTATTTGATCATACTGTTTCAAATTTTAAAAGGCAGACACCATCCCCTCCACCCCGAGTGAAAGTACTAAGCAAAATCTCAGACTGACCACCTGGCAGTGTGGTCAAACCACAGGGTCATAATACTTTCTGTGAGCTAGGAAGTCACACTTCATTATATGTCCAATCCAGCAGGACATTTAAAATTAATGACTTGCCTTATCCTTTCCTATCAAAAATGTCCACAAACTACTAAACTACTGTAAACGCATAGGCTTTCTCTTTTTTTGGGGGGGGGGAGCTGAACTGCTAGACAACTCTGGCCAGAAGCACAGGGCAAGATGCAAAAGCTGGTGTGGAGTACCATTCTGAGCTACTGACCCAGAAGCATGGGTCAGTAGAGGAGCAAATACACCACCATTGTTCCTACCTCATCTTACTGTTTACCAGGCAAGGAGTTTAGCCCATGAGTCCACCCAACTCCTCCTCTGTCCCCTTGAAACTCCAAGCAGCTTGAAAGTCAGTAATTGCAGACTTGGCCTTGCTTTCCCTGTTGATCCTGTCTGCTGGTAAATGAACTCGTGCACTTTTCCCAGAGGTCTCCCCATATGTGCCGTGAGTCACCTTTCACACTCAGCGGATCTTTATACTGAGTGAAAGACAAAAAAGGTTAAAAAAATGTTGTCTTCCTTTTTGAGTAAATATGATAGTACCAGCTTAGATAGATGACTGTGTTGCCCATTTCTTATGGCAAATGTTGGGGCTCTCATGGCACAAAAGTACTGCCCTTGCTCCTCATTATATTTCAGAAGAGAAATCCCAGAAACGTTTGGAAGTCACACCCTTCACCCCTGTATTTTTCTAAAGCAGTTTTTCCCTGGGGTGCAAAGTATATCCTCAGGAAAGATTAGAGGGAAGCTCCTCTCTTATCTTTTGGATTGAGTATAATACTTTTTTAGAAGAGGTGTTTTAAAATACATATTTTCAGCCGATTCATGCTGCTGTGAAACTGAGATCCAAGGTTCAAAGAGAGTAATATTAAGGTGCTGCTACTTCATTTGTTGATCTAGATTACTAAGAAGACAGCACACCTAGGTTTTGATGATGACAAAGTACTTGGAAGTGTTACCAAATGCAGAACATCTTCAGGGATTTGGTCCAAACTGGAAGCTGCTACCTGTTTTGCTTCTGCAGCATGAGAACTTTGGACAGTACAGCCTCTGGCTCCACTTGTTTCTTGCTTGTCTTAGATTCCTTTGTCTTCTGCACAGTGAAATAAGAGAATGAATGTTTGAAAACCAGACATACACAATCAAGGAACAAATTAACACTGAGAAGCTTCTCAGAGTCCATGAAACATAAAGTGGAAATTCACATTTGTAAGCTATGGATCCTTCAGTGTCTGATTAGAATGATAATCTCATTTGTGCCATTTTCAAGAGTGTACTAATTACTAACATATTAACATGCTACAAAAACCAGTGTGGTGTAGTGGTTAAGAGTGGCTGACTCTAATCTGAAGGTTTGATTCCCTACTCCTCCACATGAAGCCTGCTGGGTGACCTTGGGCCAGTCACAGTTCTCTCAGAACTCTCTCAACCCCACCTACCTCACAAAGTGACTGTTGTGGGGAGAGGAAGGGAAGTTGATTGTAAGCCGCTCCAAAACTCCTTAGGGTAGAGAAAGGCGGGGTATAAAAGCCAACTCTTCTTCTAAGTCCCCATGTCTCCCACGTCTGTTTTCTGATGAGGCTGGCTTCACTTATACTTTCTCCAAAGAGAATAAGTGCTTTCCGCATGCAGATTCTGCACCCAGTCTTTTTCTTTCATGGAAGGCGGCAGGTGCTTGTGCTACCTTTTGTACCTTGTTTTGAGCACAGAAGCAGGGTTGCTTTCCATTTATGCAATAGATTTGTGGCATTTGGCTCATGGGCTCACTTTCAGCTTGATGCTAAACATGCGTAGTCCCTAAAGCCTGAAGTTGCAGCTGGCGTTTATTCCTGTAGCTGATTGATCACTGATGCCATTGACTCTTAGCAACACTTGCTTTTAGCATCAAGTAATTGCTTTAGAAGCTTGACAAGATGTAGCAGTATAAACAGTATTATCAACACCGAGAAGGCTGTGGGATTCATACATTCTTAGTATATAGAGACCAGGTCCCCCCAAACAAGTGCGCAACTAGATTCATCTGAGGGCCAAACTAGATGTGACAGCATCATCAAGTCATCTAAAAATGATGTGAGGTCCCGATCCTGATTGGCCTGATGCACAGCAGGTTGTAGTTCTCTTGCCCCCCCCCCACAAGCTTATTCAAATCCTGAAATGTATCCTCCCACATCTGTTTTGGCACTTGAAAAGGCATGGGAGAAAACAGGAGTGCCGTGCTGTGGGCCTGATCAGGACTGAGCCCTCATCGGCATTCTTAAATGACTTCAAAATGCTGTTGTCCATGAAGACACTGTCAGGTGGGAGGGTGGGTCATTCTGTACTTGTCCCCAAAACAGCAGCAAACATGACAGACTTTCTTTGAATGTCAGAGAAGGACTTGTTGGATGCGTAATAGCCTTTAGTTGTATCTGAAGTAGCGCTCCTGATTCTGGCATTATTTATGCTTTTCTTGATGTGTACCAATTCATACTTCATTTTAAAAATGCACTAAACTACTCCACAGTAATCAGTTAGTAGACACATTGTGCAATGAGAGAAAATGTGAAAAAGCTCTATACAACTGAGCTTAGCATTTACTAATTCTAACAGAGAAAATGCTATTTTGCTTCCTTTCCCAGGCCTGATCTGCTGAGGTCTGATGGCATTTCCAACACTGAGGTAGGCCCTAGTGGCTCTCCCCTCTCAGGGAGTCCCAAGATGTCTACAGTTAGTAGCAAAGGCCGTTACCGTAGCAAACCACGCCATCGACGAGGAAACAGCAAAGGCAGCTACAGTGACTTTGTAGGGATTTTGAAAAACCAGCCAGCCCAGGATGACTCAGACCAGCCGACTAACCATCATCAGCACCATCCTCCTCATCATGGGCATCACCCTCGGCTAAATGTACATGGGCAGGACATAGCCAACTGTGCTAGCAACCTCCGGTATTTTGGCCCTGCTGCAGCCTTGCGGAGCCCTCTTAGTAATCATGCGCAGCGGAGGATGTCTGGCTCTAGCCCTGACCTTATCTCTGCTGCCGTGGAAGCTGATTCACGGAGGAATCTGGAGGAGGATGAAGGCAGCAAGGCTAATAATTGGGAATGCTGTAAAGGCGACATGTGCAGCCTCTGTCCGGAGTGCAGACTGGGGGGAAATGTTTCAAACCAAGGGCAGTCGCTTGAGCCAGGGCTGGAGCAGCTGGAGGCACCACTGCATGACCCACTGTATGCAAATGGCCAGTTTCTTGGAAGGAGTGAGGGAAGTGAATTTAGCTCCCATAGGCCAGGATCATCCCTTGGTGCCTCACACCCAGCGAGCACTCCAGGACTGCTGTGTAAAACACGACCCATCCCAAAGGTAAGGTTCTTCTAACCTTCTCACAGACAGTGGATTGGTGTAACCTTTGATGTCTGATCATGTATGCTAAATTTGTTGGATGTGTCCAGGAGTTCATAGTTCTTGCCATGTAGAAGTACATTCTAAGGTTTCACTTCGTGAGCATTGTAGTGTGATTTGCTTTTTTATTGGAGGCCATATCGCTGTGTGTTTGTAATTGGCCGTTGGTAATAATTGGCAAACCACAGTAGTCTTTTATCTCCCTGCCAGAGTGGTGATGATTCTTCAGAAGAAGAAGGAGAGGTAGACAGTGAAGTGGAATTCCCTCGAAGACAGAGGTAAAAACTTAAATTGATGAACTCTTCCTGTAATTGCTAAGCAACTGATTGGTTAATGAAAGGGATTGGATTTTAGTGTGATGTAATTCGATCGTGGCATGATAACTGAGAGGATTGATTCTCCTACAGCACATCTTCTTTAAACAGACTTTTCTAGTCTTCCACATATCTAGAGAAAATGTAGCAGGTAGTAGAATAACACTTGCCTCTCAATCCATGGCTACATTATGTTCATTGATGAACAGGGAGCAAATCCATGGACTATCTGCACAAAAGATTTTCTTCGACATTTGATGGAAACAGCATACACTTCTGACACTTTTCGGAACAGAGGGCAGATTTGACGAAGGACAGATTCAAGATTATTTCCCAGTTAGTTTTTTGGATTATCTAGGGACAGAATAAATGATGGATTTAAATTAAAAGGAGTGCTAAATATCCATTTCTCCTTGATTTTAGAATTCATTGATTATTATAGGCAGCAGGATGTATGTTGTACAGATATGATTGTTTTGTCATACTGTGCCTCTCAAGAGGTGTTCAGAGTAGAGGATTATCAGGTCAGTGTGCTAGAGGGTTTAAGTCACAGTAATTGTGTCACGCTGGCTCTTGTAGTGATGTCACACTGTCTGCTCAGACCTGTATTACTTCTAAAAAGTAAATCTAACTGCAAATTAATATTCACATATGAGTGAGTTCAGTAACTCTAGTTCGCTGGCACGGCTACTTCACCCTGCTGGTATCAATGTAGTAATCTCTTGATGCTGTTGTTTGTTGCATTTGTGAAATTCTCATCATCCTGTAGTGTTCTGTAGACAGTCCCTCCTTTTTTTTTGGCCCCCCCAAAGGGGATTTTTTTATTGCTTTTCTAATAACTACAAACAGAAAATTATGAAAGGGAAACTACAATCTAAGGGAGAAAGTAAAGAAAACCCTCTAAAAACCCAAGAGATGGTGATCATACATACATTTGCAAAATTCCCTTTAAGCCTAAACACAAGTTAAGTGTAGTTGAAAATGATCATCTATCTATTTACATATTTAGATATTCATCAACAATTGTAGTTTCATAAAAAGACTGTAAAAAGATGTACAATATACTTGTTTTAGATACTCCAGAGTAGATTAACAATCTATCCCCCCCCCTTTCTGTGTCTCAATTGATAGCTTTGTTTGGGGGCAGCAGCCCCCAATTTAGAGTCAGAGTCTTCTTTGGAAGATCCAGCCTCTCCTTCTTCTTCGCTTTCTTTGGCAGCATTGGTCGCACCGTCTCCAGCTGGGCTGCTATGTTGACAGAAAAACTCGCAAGCCTTTTCAACAGAGTCAATCCTTTCTTTTCCATTTGCATATCTAAAGATTAATCATCCGGGTGTTAGCCATCTGTAGCAGACATTGTGCTTTTGTAGAAATAAAACCAAGTCTCTGTATTTCCTTCTTTTCCTTCTTATCTCAAATGGAATGTCTTTCAGTACTCTTATGTCTTTGTCTTTCATCTTCAAGGTTGCGCCATTCGATGCTTTCAGTAGTTGATCTCTCACTTTTCTTCGGGAGAATCTTATTGTAACTTCCCCTGGCAGATTATTCTTTCTGATAAATTCTGTATACGATCTATGGACTGTATCAATTTCACTTTGAAGTTGATCCGATGTCATCTCTGCCAAGGGAGCTAATACATCGCCAACAATCTGTCTCAGATTCTCTCCTTTCTCTTCTTGGACACCTTGAAGTCTCAAGACATAGCTTTCCCTTTCCATTTGCAGCTGTAATACTCGAGACTCTTCGATTTGGCATTCCCCCCCCCCCAAAGTCTGTAGTTTTTTATTCATCTTTTTTGAGTTGGTATCAATCTCTTTAAGTTCTTGCTCTGTTTTTTTGATTTTCTGTGTATTCACAGCCATTTGTGCTTGTGTATTGAGTTTATTGTCCATTGCCATAATTTTCTCCAGTAGGGGGCAAAGTGCTTCCGACAACAACCTTTGGAGTTCCTCAGTTGAGTCCTGTCTAGGTACAGAACTAGCAGGGCTGGAACTTCCGGGAAGAAGCTTTGTTTTCGCTTGTTTGTCTCTCTGGTCCTTCACAGGCGATGCCATGTTTGAGAGTTGTTTACTTTTATTAAAAGTTTGTCAAAGTCTCTGGAAGTTCTTATATCACGCGGTAAGCTCTTACAGTCTCTTTATTTTAATCCATTCGCTTTTTGTAGTGCGCCCCCCCCCTTTTCTGGCTTAAAATCACTTGTAAACAGTTCTTAGTGGAGGAGAGTCCCCTTCCCCCCCTTGTTTTCTTTCGGGAGGGCCATGCGGTTTTTCGTTGTTCTTGCTTGTACTTAAACTCACATTTTCAATGATTGTTCGCATGTGTCTGAAATCGCTTGATCACCAAACGCTTGCTCTGGTGTGCTGATCTTGTTCCCATACGGGACGCTCCACAGCGGGACTGTCGGGGCTTGGAGTAGCTCCCCCTCACCGGCTTGTCTCGCCGGAGGGGGGCTCTCTAGCGCCCCATGGCTTTGGAGCTCTTCACTTGGGCTCCTGGGGTGGCGCGGACGATCACGCCCCCCCTCCCAGCCGTGGGCGCTGGCAGGCTTCTCCCAGAGGTCCGGGGGAAAGTGACTGCCATGGCGATCGCCAAGACCGGAAAAATCTTCTTTAGACAGTCCTGATACTTGCTCTAGACTTCCATTTGTTGTTGTTCAGTCGCACAGTCGAGTCCGACTCTTTGCGACCCCATGGACCAGATCACGCCAGGCTTCTGGTCTTCCGCCGTCCTCCGAAGTTTGCTCAACTTCATGTTCGTTGCATCTATGACACTGTCTAACCATCTCATCCTTTGCCGTCCCCGTCTTCTTTGACCTTCAGTCTTTCCCAGCATCAGGGTCTTCTCCAGTGAGTGCTCCCTTCTCATTTGGTGGCCAAAGTATTTGAGCTTCAGTTTCATTATCTGGCCTTCCAGGGAACAGTCAGGGTTGATTTCTTTTAGGATTGACTGATTTGATCTTCTTGCAGTCCAAGGGACTCTCAAGAGGCTTCTCCAGCACCATAGTTCAAAAGAATCTGTTCTTCGGTAGACTTCCATAGCCTTCTCCTGTTAGCTTGAGTAAATGCTGTATTGGCTTTTCAGTTGTCCTACTTCTCTGAGTATCTGGCTTCAGCAGAATGTAAAAGTGGCATTTTGTACTATAAGGAAGTGCTGAGCTTTTTAAGATCTGGCAAACAAGGGTGCTTATAGAAAAAGCCACCTTTGCTAGGTCAATTTAGCAGCTACTGAGGAATGCCATATAGGCTGTGAATTATCCTGTCTGTAGCAGTTAGGTAAAAATGCTTGGAACGTAGAAAAGTGAAGAGTGCAGGGGAAGTTAACCTGCTTTTCCTTTTCGTATGTTCTGTTATCCAAACAATAAAGGATCTGGGGAGGGGGGGGAATAGCTATGCAGACTCTCTCATGCCAGTTCCATCTTCTAGCTTGTCAGTATGCTTCTTGAACTGAAAGGAACATCAGCTAGGTGAAGGAGGCCACTGAAGTTCAGAATTCATCATGAAAGGTTCAATGTGTATATGTTGCATAGAGGATCTTTTGATATTTCCATCTGAGTGATTTCCATCTGAGGTCTAGACATGGACAGAAAAATCCTGTATTCCCCTTGTGTACGATACTAAACTATACTGACTCTACAGAGATGTTGTTGAACTCACTGAAGAAATTGTTGCCAGATTTTGCTTTTGTGAGAACTGCTGTGAAACCCCTGTATGCAGATCATCATATGGAGGTTTTTTGTTGAAAGTACATGCCCTGAGAATCCATGGTTATAACATCTATGTCCATATCGTATACAATTTTTTGTAAAATGAGGGTCACTAGAGAAGGAGCACATTATTCTAATAATCCCATATGTCTGCGAACACTACTCTGTGTAAAGATGGTTCTTTTGTAGCTTTAATTTAAATTACTTATTTTTTGGACATGCATAGTATTGTGAAGAGATCTGATATACTGGGTACACTTCTAGAATCCTGAATATTAAAGTAATAGATTTCAGTTCAAGAATACACCAGTTTCAAACCCAGTTCTCCCAGATTAGATTCCCCACTCCTCCACTTGCACCTGCTGGATGACCTTGGGCAAGGCATAGTTCTGGCACAGCTGTTCTTGAAAAGAGCAGTTTCTGTTAGAGCTCTCTCAGCCCCACCTACCTCACAGGGTGTCTGTTGTGGGGAGGGGAAGGGAAAGGAGTTTGTAAGCCGCTCTGAGACCCCTTTGGATAGTGAAGGGCGAGGTATAAATCCAATCTCTTCTTCTTCATATGTGGGGTAAAATCTAGATGAGATGTTCTGAAGCATGAAACATTTTGGAAAGCTTATTTGGTTATAGTTTTTTCTCAAAAGCATGGGAGAAAGATTTTTATGAGGCAGTTGTGTTTCCTCGGTTAAAAGGAGAGAGGTTTTCCTGTGGCAGATTTTGACCCATCATGAGTTTAAGTCTGTATGCATAACAGACATGATTTTAGGAACTTGGCCATCGTCCTTGTGGCCCTACTTAATTGCATGTAGCCTTTAAGTCTTGTCAATAAGACTAACCTGTTGTGGATTTGCAGGCCACATCGCTGCATCAGTAGCTGCCAGTCCTATTCAACTTTCAGCTCAGAAAACCTCTCTGTGTCTGATGGAGAGGAAGGGAATACCAGTGATCATTCCAACAGCCCAGATGAGCGGGCCAACAGGCGAGAAGAGCAGCTGGCTGAGAAGCTGGATGAGATGATGTCACAGACTCCAGAAATCCCCATTGAGATCTCTACTCAGTCTGATGGGCTTTCAGATAAGGAGAGTGCTGTACGCAGGGTGAAAACACAGATGTCACTGGGCAAGTTGTGTCCTGAGGAACGTGGCTATGAGGTCAGTATTGTTATCTTTTCTGCCTTTGTGTAGTTGAAAAATCAATTAGATGCTTGGAAACTAAAGCTATCAGTTAAATGTCTAGTGGATAAATCTGTTAAATATAAGTAAAATACAGCAGGATTCCAAAGGTTTTTGCCATCTCTGAGGTGAACAAGCCCCTTCTCTCTTTCCTTAATATCAACTGTATTAGGCCTGAAATTTTCCCTATCACCTCTGTCCAGAGCTATTCATACCTAAAACCATTAGAAACGATCACTCCTCCTGACCACACTTTTAAGTTCCCAGCCTTGGGGAGATTCAGAGGTGTTACATAGCAACCACATAAAACAGTAACACCCCCCCCCCCAGTTCTTAAACATGGATGGGAAGAACCAGTGAGGCTAATCTATCTTGGTTTCTAAATGAACTTCTGTAAAAGTTCTGGATGGAACTGGATATTGAGTTGGGTTCTGCCTACTTTCTGCTGGTGGAAGCAGATCATCCCCTTCCTTGGTGGCTCTGGACGGGAGCCCCCCAGGACATGGTGGCTCTAGACGGAAGCCCCCAAGCGATGTCGACTTGACACTGACAGTTGCCAGCTGGCTCCAAAACAAGGCCCTTGCACCTGCCTGGTCTGGTAAGCAGAACCCACATAGCAGGGTGAGAGATGGGACAGCTGCAGTCATCTGTGTACCACTGTGAGAGTTGTTGTCCAGGGCCCTGGGGGAACTCTGTTACTGGCAGGCAGCAGTGCCTTGGAGGGTTCCTATTGATGTTTCCAAGGCCAAGGAAACACCACCCCCACTGTTGCATAGCATTTTCATGGCAGAGTTTCTGGGTGGGTTTCATTTTCTGAGCCACCCCAAGCTGCACCCAAAAGCTCAGAGATTTCTTTGGAGACCATGTCCATGCCAAACATCGCCTCCTGAGCCCTGACCCAGCACGAATTTTGACTTCTCATGCGGTTTGTGCCTATCCTTACTGACCAGGTCTCCATTTCAGATGAAAAGCTGCAGCATGTGTAAATTTTTAGCAAGTTTGTTCTGAGTCTTCTGTCTTGTGCAATGGATAAAGAATGCAAGAGTGCTGTTGAACACAATGCAATAGGGATTTCTTTTTGCTTCAGAAGATGCAAGGAAGTACCACTAACATGACAGAGCTCTGATCCACATGAGGAAGTTAGGAGATCATGCAAAATTTGTTCACCTCCATAAGTTAGTGAAAGAAGAGTCGATTAGAACTCTTTCCAGACATAATAGTTTTCCAAGTACAGGAAAATATTTAAAAATTGTGGCTTCCTTTTTACAGTCCCAGGAACTCTATATTCTGTGACTTAACACTTGGCTGAACTACAAATTGGCTTTTTGGGAATCTGAAGCCTAATTCTACTATGCAGAGTTGAATATGTTGCAAACTAGCAGACAGAACTGAAACAAAATTCTATTGGAGGGTCCCTTCAGTAGCAGAACTAGAGCAGCTTCAGCTGAAGCAGTTGATGCTGACCAGGAATTAGTACCTCAGGTCTGCTGAGGAACGTTTTGTGTCATCTACCTGAGTTTTTTCAGAAAAGTTTTTGTAGTCTGCTTCAGGAAAAAGGGGATAGTAGCTCTTTTCTCCAAAACCTTGTTATGTCCTTTCATTATGCATTGAGGGGGTGCTGTTTTTGTCTGATGCAGATGAAAATACTGACCAGAAGTGCCCAAAACTAATTTCAAAAATTGTTCTGTGCACTTTGTGTTGCAGAATCCTGGGGAGTTTGGAGGTTCTGGTGGGGACTCTTCTGATGGGGAGTGCTCTGATGCAACTGTGAGGACCAGTAAAGCTGGTAGTTCTGCAACCTGGTAATGATGACCTCTGCTCCTCAGTCGTTTTATCAGCTGGCATTTTGATTCCCTCAAGAACCCACTTTCCGTTTCTTCTCTGAGAAACTGCTTCTCCACCCCATCACCAAAACGATCTGCAATAACTTGAATCTTTGGAGAAATGTTCTGATGAATCGGTTTTTCTGTGAGCATTTCAATCAAGAATGGCAGGGATGTATTTTATTAATAGTTGAGCTACTGTACCATATTTTTGGCATTTTAACACTTTTTACTCTAAAGAGTGAATTGTATCATAGACAAAATTTGTTGCAAAAGAAGAATTAAGATGATAGGCTTATAAAAGCAAATAATCTTTTTGAGTCTTTGATTGCCTGCCTGGATAGGCTAGGATGTGATGCTGCTGTTTTGGCATGGGACCAAGCCACATGGCCCAGAAGGAACAGGAAATAAAGGAAGTGAACTCAGTGACATGGTTCTATCCAGTGAAACAGTGGGTGAGGTAACCAGTAAACAAAGAGGAACATTACCATAAGCTGTTTAACTTTAAAGAAGTTATTCACCTTCCTGGAAATGGTAGGTAGCAAGGTGTATCTAGTCACTGCACACCTGGCATGTGAGAGTTGGGGGGGGGCTAACCGTGTTTGTAAATCAGCCTTTGACATCCTACAGCTGTATTCTAGCTTCAGTTTCCCTGTAGAACTTTTCACCATTCTGCTACTGTGGATCAGATGATGCAGCATGAAGTGGCTGGCTGGCAAACAGACAGAATTGAAGATGCTGTTGCTTGGTTATCTTCCTCTCCTCTCCAACCTGCCTTTTTTTTTTTCCTTCCTTCAATTAAAAATAAATCGATCAAATTAGTGTTGAACAAGAACTTTCACACCACAGAAAAAGCACATTCTGCATATCCTGAGGAATATCCTGGAGGAAGAGATTGGAGCTGTTCCGACTACGGTTGACAATTGCCAGTATACAGTAAGGGAAGATTGTACTTGGGTGAAGTTGGGGAAAGCCTTGCTTGAACAACACCCCTATTTTTTTTAGTGCCATTCTCTTACTGGCAACTTGCAGCTGATGCAAAGTAATATTTGGAATACAGAAATGAGCGAAGGATGCCCTTCATTTTGGGTGTGAGAGAACCTAAGCCATATTTCCATAGTGATGGGTTCTGGACTGGAAAGTACCCTAGGCTGTTGCCTTTCCTAGGGGAATGGTATTTCACCTTTCCTCTGCATTACCTCATTCATTCTAATCAACTTTCTGGGAGTCATAATCATGACCCTTTTAATTGAAATGTCCACAGGCGTATACCCCCTCCCAAAAGAACACTGAAGCTGGTTTTATAGGCAAAGTGCTGCTAATGTTCTTATCTGTGTCCCCATAGCATGGCCTGTTATAACCACATTCAGGGAAGGAAGGAGCCTCGTGTGGAATGTAAGCTTGTTATGTAGTAGGATCTATCTTTAAGATGGTGATTAGGAGTTACACCTCCACACCCAAAATGAAGGGCAAGGATTGGCTTGTATGAGGTGCTCCTGTTTGTTTACATATGATTTGAATTTTTTAAAATATAGCCTACTGGCAAAAATGAAGGGAAATTCTTTCAGAGAACAGTATTGTATGCATTAAATTATTCCATATATTTTTTTTAAATTGTAGCTGGACTACATGGATCTTAACTTATGTCATTGTTATTTATTGTAATTGCTTTAGATTACTGGCAGAGTTTACTGTAGCACAGTTTATTGGCCCCTGCTCCATTGTCTCTTGGCTCCTTATTGCAGGAGGAGCAGGAGCCAAGTTGTTTCTTGGGATCTAATCTCTTACCAGCCACAGCATACCATGAGGCAGGGAGTAGGTGAGCACAAGTAGGCCATGTGCATGGAGTATAAAATGGACAGGATGCAGATCTAATACCTTGACATGCTTTGGCCTCCTTGCTGTTGCCCAGAACACTGTGCTGTGGCAGAAAGCAACATAAATCAGTCATGTTTTCCTGAAATGACACACTCTTTGCTAATGCCAAGAATACCACTAGTTACAGCTTAGCATGCTTATAGAAGACAAAGCAGAACTCTACCCAGAGAAGTTGTCCCTGGCAGTTCATGCCCTCAAGCTTGTGAATAATCCACTTATTTTGAGAGTCCCATTGATGGTGGTTTTCATGCCATAATAAACCCATTCCATTGATAATATGAGCTAGGCCAGTCGTTCTCAAAATGAAGTGGGACCCACTTCCAGGCTACTTTCACCCTCTCCAGCATAAAAAGCAAGAATCTCCCCTCCAGTAACACTGAATAAGTTCATATCTTATTTTTCTGTTTTAGTGTTCATAAATATGTAGCATTGTTTTTAATCATCTTTATTAATTTTAAATTAATGTACAATACAGCGTAATACAGTGCATCCATCTACAAGAATGTCATCTAAATGGGAAAAGTTGAAACCTACAAGGTTAACCACTGTATTTCATGGCCATTAAACTTCCCAGAGTCTCCTTTATCATCTCAGCCTGTTTCAACCCCTCTGTCTTGGCCTTGCAGCTAGAGTTACCAACCTCAAGGCCCAAAATCCTCCTGGAATTATAGTTGATCACCAGATTACAGAGATCAGTTCCTTTGGAGGAGATAGCAGTTCGGAGGGTTGAAATAAGAGTCCTAGAGTGACATCACATCCCTGCTGAGCTCCCTCCCCACACTTCAGACCCCCTGGGCACTGCCCCCCAATCTCTAGTCATATGACAATCTGGAATTGGCAACACTACTTGTTACCCACCTGCAGGCAAGGTAGACATTTAACTCACATGCAGTGCGGTACTTTTCAGAAGGCTACTTGGCATGATCCAAGCTCTCACGACGTGACTTCTATTCCATTTTTATTTGCCTTTTTGGAAAATCGTTGCTTCATTGTTCATATTTGTGTTTTTAGATAAGTATTTTGTTGTGGGGGATGATCCCTAAATACAATTTTGGGGAATTGGACTCCACATTTTTGTGCAAATCTAGGAATCTCTAGTTTACCAATTCCCTTTGGTAAATGATCATAGACTACTTGACAATAAACTGAAGTTCCCCTGTGGCATGCTAATTCCAGTTTAACAGCCACAGCTGTTCATTCTAAATAAGCAAAGGATGGTGTCAAGAATGACAAGGAGTTACATTTTGTGTTTCCTGTAGTGAGCAATTGGTTTTTGTCAACTCAGTGATTTTCCCAAACTTCCTTCTCTACAAGGAGTTTCATAGCAAAATATCCTGTTCTGCTTATAAAGAATTTTGCACCTAATGTGGAATTGCCAACTCTGATTAGAGTTATCCAGGATTTTGAGCAAAGGAGGCATTGAGCTTGCAGCACCATGCATGTAATGTGTGTGCTCTGTCATATAAGTACATCCTGTCTCCATAGTAAGCCTCTACAACTACTGAGAATGTGTTGATTTAATGAATCTAACATGCACATATACCAAAAAGGAAACTACAGATGTTGGTAACTTTTTGATACTTGTGTGCATACTGCATCTGCAGTTGTCATGCTGTACAATGTAATAACACTTTGAAGGAATTAGATATGTCTTGACTAGTACCTCCCCTCCCCCCAAATGCATGTGCCCTGCGTTTTCTTTTGAAACTTACAAAAAATAAATAAATCAGTTTTTACCTTTTACCATCCCCAAAGAGCTCAGGACATTGAACTAACAAAACTAGTGAACCTGTTGATCGAAGAACATGGTGCTGTAACTAAGAAGTCAACTTGTTTTTGAGTCTCACTGGTAAATTCAGCTTCAGAACTTTCCAAATTATTTGATATGTATATTGTGCCATGGAGTACAAATAGAGAATTCTTCAATATTTTTAAATATGTTGAGCAGGCAGGTAAAAATACATTAAAAAAAACTGAACTGAGATTTTAAGCTGTCTTGAGGCTAATCACCAGCCATTTAATTTTTCCACTGTGCTGTTAATAGCTTTTGTTGTGAGCCTTCTACAATGATGCATCCTTAAATGTACAAATGTATTTTTATAAATCTAGAAGAGTTCTAATCTTTATGGCTGTAGAGGGATTCAAGTAGGAGGCAAATCAAGGAAACTTTAGTACACTGGGTGGAAAAACAACAGTATTGTTCAGTGAATTAAATCGAGAACTTGGCTTTACAGTAGGTCTGCTATGGTGATGCTGCTGAAAATAGCATCTCTGTGGGGAAGTCTCCCCTTCCCACTTTAATATATTAGAGCACTCGCCATATACTGCAGCATTTTCACATTGTATGTTTCCTGGCACCCAGTCTATGTCATTGGGTGGATGGAGCTGAGGTAGTTTATCCTGGGATCACCACTGTAGCTGTTCAGCCTCAAATAGGACAATAATACTAGTATTAGAAGATGGAGGGAAGATGAGTTCAGCTCTAATATTGTATTGGTTTAGAAGATGCATAAATTGCAGTTGTTCTCTCTTCTTGGCTTGTAGTACACAAGATGTTTAAGTTTTTTTCTAGGTGTGAGGGCTAAACACTTTTAAAGGTGGAAACCGACTCTCAGGTATTTGTGTGACTTTGGGCTTTTTGAAGAGCCTGCTTTGTTGTGAAGGTCCAATAAAAGGTACTGATGGTACTTATTTTCTTATTCTCTGGGAACAACACTCCAAAGCACTAAATGAAGAGACATTGTAAAAATTATGGGATTTGGTAATGCTGATACTGAGACACATTCCTTAGGAAAACGGGCCTATATTGACAGAAAATGGTAGGCTAGGCACCATACTTCTTCTACACATTTCTTTTGAGTTTGTGTTCAAGGAGCACAAGAAACATTTAGCACACCAGTTTTAAAAAGGCACAGTTTTGTTATAAGGTAGGAAAGTGGATCAGTTTTTAACATTCTGATAGGGTCTTGAGAGGAATAGATGACTTTGTTCTGAAGAGTTTAAATTCAACTCTTAAAGGATTCTTTGCTTTTTAAATAAAAGCCATAAATCAAATAATCTCATTCAGATTATTAGACAGTATTGCCTGTGTGCAGTTATCAATGGTGAACCTTGCTGCGTGTTGACTGTTTCATGTAAGGGCATTACAGTAATATAACTAGCTGATTATGGGCTTGCCATTAGCTACACAACAATCTGGAGCATGCAGTGCAAAGCAGAAGCGATGCCTCTGGAGGCAAATGGCTTCTTTGGGCTATCTTCATTACTCATATGATGCCCTCTTAACTACTGGGACCAGCTATGGCACAATCAGTGTGGTGGTTAATCATTGTTTGGGATTAATGGTTTTATATGTCAAATGATCATTTCATCTCCTATGATGTCTTCTCTCCCTTTTCTCCCTACTCTGTGGCTTCCTGAGGTAAACTTGATTTTTTTTGTACTGAACAGTGTGTAACAATTGGGAACAAGAATGACTATCCAAACAAACAGATGCATGGAATAAAAGCCAGTGTACCTCATATGCTTGTTGTAGTAATTTGTACCTAACACTACAAAAATGGAAGCAAGCAGATTGTATGGTATTGGATGCAACTCTGCATTTCCAGAGAAGATTTTCTTTTCAGTGGAAACAGAACTTATTTAATCACATCCTGGAAGGTGGTAACAGAGTGATGAAAATGACATACCAGACGTGATGATCAAGGTGAAATCCACGTTATCCTCATACATGTGCTTTTGCCTCCCTTAAATTGGATACATAATCATGCCACTTTCTAGTTTTTGCGCTCTCTATGTATTTTGTGGATGTAGAGCAATCTAATGCTGGAAAGGCTGTGTTTTAATGGTTCCTTTCTTTAGTAGTCTTGGTACTTAAAGCCAATCTTCATACATATAAAGAAATCTCAAATCTTTTCTACAACATATTCACGCTTTCCAATATGAAGCAAGCAGGTGTACAGCACTTATAGAAAGCGAAGTTCTCTTTTCCCTGTGTAGGGAGAAAATAAGTAAGGGATAGATATATGTAGAGTTGCCAATTTCCAGGTGAAATTGGGAGAGCTTTTATGATTACTACTGATCTCCAGGGTGACAGAGATCAGTTCCACTAGAGAAAATGGATGCTCTGGAAGGTAGACTCTGCAGCATTATACCGCACTGAAAAGCCCTTCCGCTCCCTGGACTGGCAACCCTAGTTATATCTATACTATGCTAAACAGATGACACTTCATAATAAGTTTTACACCTATTTATTTTGTAAGAACAGTTTCCAAATTAACTCGTGATAAGGCACTTGATAAGGACACAATTACTATTTAATTCAAAACCGACATTTTCCTTTGTCTTTCCTCTGTTCTAAGTCTGACAGTATAGTTATCAGAGTACTCCTTGATATTCCTCCTACCAAATGGTACTGAAGCTCCATGTTCTAAGGACAGATTACCTCAATTAGTTTCCCAAAGGAAGCAAGACAACCCAAGCTGAAGCTCTTGAAATGCTGTACTAATTCAGTAAGGTGATATACTGGGGTTTGGACCAAATCACTTCATACTGCAGACTGGAGCTCAGGTGACAATATTTTCCCACACTTACAGCTCCCTCAATAGCAAAAAGGGGCTAATTCATTTTCTTGCTGGCATCTAGTTTTCTACAGGGAGGAGGGGTTTTTATAAAGAAAACAATTATATAAATTTATTACTTCACTGTCTTTTTGGGGCCAAGCCTCCCACCCTGCCTGGGAAGGTGACAGGGACTTGGCACCTGATGACTGAGACTCTCTCCACGGCTGTGGCAGGAGGGCACTGGTGGACTAGCGGCCATGACCTAAAATATCCCAAGGAAGGGGTGTGTGGGTCTCCCCACTGGAGGAACCCGGCACCCAACTACCCAGACTCTCTGTGAGACAGAAAGACTCCTAAGCCCCACTGTTGAGATGGAATGCTTATCTACAGCAACAGTGTTCTCAGTGATGCCAGACGTGCATTGATGTTGTCAGGCTGGAAGCCAGCAGTCTTTGGGAGAAAGATTTGGGGGTGAGATGAGAACTCCAGAAAGTGGTGGGGTGAGCTGGGTGTTTGAGCTACAGAGGAAAGACACTACCCCAAGGCTTTCAACCAGGAAACCCAGAAAAAAGGGGGGGGAGTTCTGTAGAGAAGCAGAAAGGGACCCCCAGGAGCAACTCTATCTCAAGGAGCCACACAGCAAGAACTCGCAAAACAAATGTCATGTGAAAGGGAATAAATTCTACCCAAGTTTCCCACCCTTCACATCAAAGAAAGAGATGGGAGGAAAGGAATTGTTGCACTGGAACACAGGGAAGGGAAACAAGGCAAAAGAGAAGACAAATCATCTGGAAATTGGTATTGTAACCAGGAGATCCAGGAATTCCCCACCCCAGACCCACCAGCAGCTATAGTTTCCAATCCCCAGTTGGAGGCAGGGGATCCCCTGGTTTGGAGCCCCTCCCCCCACTTCAGGGCAATCAGATAGCAGAGGTGGGTGGGAATGGCTGCTGGGCCCTCCATTATAACCCTATGGAGACGGTTCCCATAGTGTATAGTGGAGAATCAATCTGGGGCTCTGCGGGGGGGGGGGTGTTCTTGAGGTAGAGGCAACAAATTTTCAGCATAGCTTCTAGTGCCTCTCTTCAACCCCACCCAGTTTCAAAAAGATTGGACCAGGGGGTCCAATTCTAGGAGCCCCAAAAGAAGGTGCCCCCATCCTCCATTATTTCCAATGGCAGGAAAGCCAGAACTTGCCTTGGAGTTAAATTGTGTTTCTTCCCTACCCTCTCCTGGTTAGTACCCCAGTGGCTAATTCCCACCTGGCAACCCTACCAACAGCTATTTTTCACAAACGCAAGAACTCCAGAACTCGCAAAGACCTGACATGTACAAACGAAAGGAGCTTATTTCAGTGCTTATTTACATCCCCCCTCCCATCCCATTGGAGTGCTTATTTACATCCCCCCCTCCCATCCCATTGGAGGCAGATGGACATCTCTCCGTTGACAGCAGACTTGCCTGTCAGCTTTGGATGATCCCTGTTAGTCCATGAAGGCTGAAAAAAAACACACACACCAGCTTTTCAGTGCGAACCTACATGGGTGGTTTTTTCTTTGCCGAGAGCATCTGAGAGCTTCGGAGACGGGCTGAGAATCTCAGAGACTTCGAGGTCCGAACACGTGACCTTTGAACCGAGTCACCTGAGCCTTGAACCAGCCAAAATTCAGGCCAAACTGTAGCTCAGCATTCAGGTCTGTGCCCATCCCTAGTTATTACTCTTTTGCACACAGTATAGCATAAAACTGATTTTGTGAAGGGAAGTCTTGGCTTTTCACATAGCTTCATTTTGGGCACTGTCAAAAGATGGCATTTAAGAATAATTGGGTCTGCCACTTCTTATTGAGAGAAAATGCCCAAGCCTCTGTTAGATGCTTCAGGAAAAAAAATCAGTAGAAAAAGAATTGCACCTTTCCCATAAGCAGACTCTTAGTATCTGTCTTGCTCTCAGTCTATTCAACTGTGCTTCCGTCCATTGAGCACATAAACATTCTCATCACTTTTGTCCAAGTTCAGATGCTTTTGACTGAGTTTCTTAATGATAGTCCCAGGAATTAATGCCACCATGGCTATAGCCAGCATCTTGAGTAAAGTAGTCCAGGAGAAAATGGCATCAAGGGAGGTGATCTGTGAAAGGATTGAACCTGTCTGGACACAGATGAAGTTATATGGCACGAGACCTGCAAGAATGGGGGGGGGGGAGAATACTTGCATTAGAAAGATCTTGCACCTCACAAACTCACCTTGGACCTATGTCAAGGAGGTCCGCCTGCCTACACAGAGACTGAACTATAAATAAAGTACTGAAAATTATTTATGGCTGAACAGTACAATGAATAAGGTGAGTCTGATACCCATATCCAAACCCCCCACCCCAAATACAGATACAGGACCTCCGTCTTCGATGGATTTAATTTCAACCAACTCTGCTGCAACCATCCAGCCACAGCGTCCGAAGCCTCTATTCATCCTGATCAGGGGAAAGTTTTTTTTTAAAGGCTTACTGGCCTATGCCCATTGCTCAATAGACTCCTTTTTCAAGCTTGCCCCTCCTGCCATTCCTGAAGACAATCGGGAGTCTTGGTCATGTCCTTGGCTCCCATTATTTCACAATAGCCTGCTCTGCAAGATGGTGTTGGCACATCTATCACTTTTCTGGGCTATTCAGGAGCTCATGGGATCATACTAGCTACAAAGGGAAATAAGAGTAAGAGAGGGCATATGCCAGTTTGGTGTAGCAGTTAAGAGCAGTGGACTCTAATCTGGAGAAGTGGGTTTGATTCTCCACTCCTCCACATGAAGCCAGCTGGGTGACCTTGGGTCAGTCACAATTCTCTCAGAGCAGGTCTCTCAGCTCCACCTTCCTTGCAGAGTGTCTGCTGTGGGGAGAGGAAGGGAAGGAGACTGTAAGCCGCTCTGAGACTCCGAGTGAAGGGCGGGGTGTAAATCCAATTTCTTCTTCTTCTGTTCGAAATCTAACTTCAAGCCACTCCATGTAGCTAACAGCACTGTTTATTCCATAGTAGTCTGAGCAGCATTTCACACCAAAACTTGCTGAAACAACTAAGAAAAGGTGCACTTAGCAATAGCTGGTACAATCCAAGATACCATCTTAACCTGCTCTCTATCAGAAGCATTCTTGGTATCTTTATTTTCTTAAGTACTTTTAGGAAAACGGATGTGGTTCTGAGGTTAATCAGAAACATTTATCCCTGCAATAGATGTGTACTTCCTACTGTGAGGGAAGTTTATATTGCATAAACTTTATTCTGTCTGTGTATTAAGGGAGGATGTTGTGCATATGTACGGGTAAACTGTGGTTCTCTCTGGCTTTTTTCACCTGTAGATCTTCCTGAGACAAGAAAGTAGGAGAACCTATAGAAACAGTAACAGAGTTAATCTTTCTCGGCAATTTGGATATTAACTCTGTGTTTTACCTATGTCTCTCACTGCTTTACCAGTCACCAATGGCATTGGTTAGAAATGAAATATTTAAGGGAATCCCAGCAATTGCACAAAGCTCCAACAACAAACTGCAGTACAGAGTCCACTGTATGGCTCGAAGGTACTCTTATCAAGCCAGTACATGCAGGATGGCTGTGCACAGGAAGTGGGAGCAGGTGACCAAGCATGTACTATCATGCCACAGCTATCACAAGGGAAGAGAACAACATCAGCATCGCCTGGCAAATATTGTTACACTCAGCCCCATTTTGCCCCTCTTGTCTTACCTATGAAAACAGAGAAGAAAAACTGAGTCACAGGAATGTTCAGGATGGGAGATGTGAGATTCAGAAGCCAATTGGGAGACATAGGGAATAGCCTCAGAAACAACAACAAGAAAAACAGGGAACTTCTGTTCTCTTCCACCTGCACAAATCAAAGAAAGTCAGACTCAGCTGAACTGCTTCCTGCTCAGTTTTATTTTTCAGGTTTTTATAAAGTTTTCATTACCACCAATATTCTGTGTGGTATTTAAGGTACTTTAACATGGCTTCACTAGAAACAGAAACTCCCAATTTGCATTCAGACTTCATGAACAAGACAAGGATCAGCCAAGAAATCCTTGGTCTCACATATGGAGATGAGACTGATGACCTTCCTTGTTTGGGAAGAAAACAGTTTGTTGTGACGTCTGACTCAGGTGCTTTAACATACTGTGGCTTGTGTCTTGCCTACAACAAGAATTCTAACTCTGGTTTAGAATCCTGATTTATAGGGGAAAAGAACAAATGGGGGGGGGGGGAGGCATGTTCTAATCACCAACAAAACAGTGCATTACACCTGAATGCAGCCTATATGAATAAATAAACTGAAAAAGTACAATCAAGCAAAATCTCTAATAAATTTGTTTTCCAAAGCTTTCCCCCTATACCCTCTTAAAAATAAGACAGGAATCTGAATTTGAAAAGATGGTCTGATTGCAGACTGCAATTCTGTTAGTGGCCTGCTAGCGACACTAGAAAAGAAACCAGTTTTGTGGGAAGGAATGAGAGCCAAACATGATAGTGGCCACAGGCAGATGCTGTTTTAGAAACAGGTGCAGTTCTTTAAACTGCCTGTGAGGCCCCAATCCAGATTGGGCATGCAGCTCAGCAGCTCTTGTTCCCTCCCCCCAATGCCTTTTCAGGTGCACAAACAGTCCCTCATGGCTGTTTCAGCACTTGAAAACCTGTGCGGGGGTGGGGGAGAGCTCCTGGGGCCACCACAGGCCCAGTCCAGATCGCAGCCTTGCAGAATTTTTTTAAAAACTGCAACAACTTCTAAAATGGCATTAGCGGCCACAGGATGAACTTGCGGCTGCTGTCACATTTAGTTTTGTTCTCAGAGGGATAAAGGTGGAGAAGTGAATTCCTCGTTGTCTACCAGCTTGAGACCCAGGCCAGTTGAGTAAATCTCTCATTCTCCATGGTAAAACTGAGGGCCTGCAGGGTTGTTTCACCAAGTGAATAAAATGATATATTTAGTCAGAAGACTGAAACAAAGATGGGTAGAAAGTAACTGACTTGCTTGCCATGATTGGAAACTACTATATCCAGTGTTTTATTGTAGGTCTAAACTTAGGCAAAGAGGGGCAAAGCAGCCTTTAAATCTCTCTCTTGCTGCAACCTACATCGTGATCACACATTTATCTCTAATTATACATCTTCCTGACAAGGTATTTTCTAATTACAGACCCCAAAATTTTAATATTTTGAGTGCAGGCAACTATAGCCAGGACATGACATTTTGTCACTAAATATTCATATAGTGACTGAAAGCAAATAGTGACAGCCTTCTTACCTTTCTTTGAAGTATAGCTACTTTATCAGGAAAACAGTAGATGACAAATTGTTTTCCAAAGATGTTGGATAGTCCATAGCAACAGGTAGCACCCACAGACGTCAAGGCACAACACAGCAGGAGACCCAACCATGGTCCAAAGAGAGCCCCAGCAAGGATGTTCTGTTAGAGCAAAACTAGACAATGATCCAGTCCATAACAAACTGTGGGGAAAGCACGAAGGACTCCATGAAACATAACAGCAGTTCTGCCTGATCAGTCCACAGAGCGCAAATCCTGTTTTTTAGTCAACCAGATACTTCTGAGAAGCCTACACACCGGGCAGTAGATCACAGCTCCCACTGCTGCTTGCTGTGCAGCACTAGAATTCAGAGGCGCATGTTTCCAAAGATGGAAGTTCGACTCAGCTGTCATGCCCTGTCCTCTGTGAAATTGTATAGTCTCCTTATAAAGCCCGCCAAGTCCATGGCCATCACCACATCTTGTGAATCACTTCAGCTGTGTTTATGCACTGTATTTGTTACATTTTTATCTGGCACCTCTTCCAAAGTATTCAAGGTGACATGCATTGTCCTCCCTCCTTTTTATCCTAACGGGGTAGGTTAGGCTAACAGAGAGAGCAACTGGCTCAGTCACCCAGCAGTTTTCATGGCAGGGTAGGCAACTGAACCTGGGTCTCCCCCAGTCCCTAGTTCAACACTTTAACCCCTGCACCAGTGTCTAAAGCTGTGCTGTCTTTTATGTTCTGAATCGATTGCCAATCAATTTTACTGGGTTAGTGTTATGAGAGAGTGATGACAATTTTTCTCTTGCTACTTTCTCAACATCTTGCATAACTTTATAAATCTTTTTCTGAACTATAAATCCCCAAATAGTGTAGCCTTTCAGTATGGGGAAGACGATATAATACCTTGATTGTTTTTATTGCACCTTTCCAGCACCAATGATACTATTTGGAAGAAGGGGTGACCAGAACTGTACACCATATTCCAAACACTGCTGCATCACACATATAAAAACATTATAACGAAATCCTTTTCTTTTTAAAAGACTTCATGAATAATTTTTATGTATTACTCTGTTGGAACAATACATACATAAAGAAGGCAATACGGAATAAAGCAAATATACAAAAAAAAGCACTATTTTCCCAAAACTGAAAGACAACCCCCCAAAAGTTGATTCCCCATGGGTTGCAGGGCCCACATAGCCATATTAATAGGTGGGCTGCAGTGAGGAGGGGGTTTCCCCTCGAATGGTCATGGCCCCGCCCCTAGCGTGCCCGGCGTCATAACGTCACTTCCTGGTGACGTGCGTGCGGTCCGGGATCCACCCGGGAGTCCCCTGCTGCAGAGGTAAGCTATACTTGGCAACCCTAGTGTACTAAAACTCTGTAACAGGTCTTTGAATGTGTGTCTAGAATATATAGATAATAGTGACCACTGAGGAAGGCCCTTAGGGGCCGAAACGCGTTTGGTCTTCAGTTGTAAAGTATTTATCCATCATATGTATGTATAGTGGATAAGCTTTTATAGTCTGATCTTAAACAAAGTAATTTTTAATCAGGAAAGTTTTACATGTGTACACCTTAATAAATATTTGTACTTTTATATATATGGTTTTGCAGAGTTTCTTCCATTTATATCCAGCTAAATACTAGATATAAAGAGATCCCAGTCTTGCCACAATGTTGATTATGTTAGAAACTGACTACATGGAAGGAGAGAAAAGGATAACAGTGCAAGTTCAGGCCCTCTTTAAAGGAGTCGTAGAAATACAGAGCAAGTTCTAAGATGAACTGCACACTTTCAGAATTACACAAAACCAGGTCCTACAAGGAGTTCTAGTAAAATAGTGGCAAGATCATATTATTTATAGATGAGCAATAACCCAGTTCAGAACGTTACTGGGCAAGTCCTCCAGACCTAAGAAGAAGCAGGGACAGAGGAGCAGAAAGGTGTCTGATTCAACAGTAAGCTGCAAAGCTAACATCTTGAAGGTTTGCAGATAGTATACATACCAGAAAGCTTGAACCAGGAATGGCGAAGCTCTGTTTATACAGGTAGGCACTACAAAACAGCAGCAGCACATATGCATGGTGCTCTTTGTTATAGTATTGTAGAAATTCTGCAAGCTCTCGCAGTTCCTCTAGGTTTGAAGGGAATTTTAATAACCTGATAAATAAAGATAGCCATCAGTTCCGAAGTAAACAAATCATATGCTGCCACTGAAGTGTTTTTATTTTATAGATAAGTCAATGGTATGACAAAAAAAGTGCTAGGGTCCCTTGAAAGATTAACAAGTGTACTGCAGCACAGGCTTTCAAATGACAATTATGTCTTGGAGGTGAAATAGCACTTGCCCTCTTGCTACAAACCTAATATGCCTATCCTTCTACAGTGATGTTAAAGAGAATTATCACACTAAGATTTCGTTTACCTTTTTCTGGAAACTGAAGATTAACTGTTACTGTATCCGGTATCTCCATGGAAGGTACCACATTTAGCCATACAAAATGGAAATCCATCAATCTTGTGAAGAAACTTGTCAATCACACCTGCTATTGTCATTCACTTGCTACTTTCCAATTATAAGGACAGATTACTGTATCTGAAGAAGTATCACATTCTAGCTGTATCTGAAGAAGTAAGCAGTGACTCACAAAGGCTTATACCCTGCCTCAAATGTTGTTAGTCTTCAAGGTGCTACTGGACTCCTGCTCTTTTCTGCAACTACAGACAGACTAACATGGCTACCTGTCTTGATCTGTACCATTTCCAGCTATTACTAAGAATCTTTCACATTAAAATATCATAAAACCTATTAGACAGAGGAAGGATGGTTACGGTGGTAACCTGACAAGTGGCAATTACAGAATAGCTTGGCCTGTAATACATCATTGTGCTAGCCAAGCAGATTACAACTCCAGAGCTGGAAATACTTGAGAAATCCAATAAAAATTACAGCATTAATTAGAAAAAAGTTGTAAACAGCCATTTTTGTGCACACAAAATCCAAAAACAAGAACAAAATCTATGTAATACCTTTTATTAGAACCAACCAAACTGACAGAAAACAGAGCTCAACAGAACACCAGGCTGCATGTTATAAAATTTTATAGATAGAGGGGTGGGAAGCAGATTTTTCAGGCCATGATGTTACAACAACCTGATCTTACAAGCATTTCTGTGACATACATATAGGCACAAAATCTAACTTTATTGCAGGTGTTATGTTATTGCACATTCTCTGGGAAGAGGCATTTTGCCTACACATTGAAAATACAGAAACCAGCAATAGTGCAGCCATGTTCCTCTCAAATGCCAATGAGACACATTGTTCTCTTGCAGGCTGAAAGCAAATGGCAGCATGTGGTAGTCTTATGTTAACAATGTTTAAGTTAAACTTCAGGTGATGCACAAAGTATAAAGTCAATGGAAGCCAAATTGGCCAGTTTTAGTTTGTTTTGAGTAAATCTTTCCCCAGATTTGCCAAAACAATTCAATTACAATCCTCCCCTAGAGGAGCAGGAAGGAAGTGGCACTCTTGATTTTTACAGATGTAAAAATAGGAGACAGCAGGGAATCCTGGCTTCAGCTGCAGGAGCAACATTCCACTGTTTCCCTCACAGAAAGCCTTACAACCAGTTTGAAAATTCCATAAGGCAGATGGGTTTGTGCCATCAGATCCTGTTAGCTCTTACCTACATTTCCCTTCTCTTGGAAGGATGGGAGATCAGTGGCATAGTACATAATTAGCAATCCCCCAAGGAGACAGAATAGTGGAGTTTATAATAAAAACAAGTAGCAATAAATAAACTGGAAACACAATCATTTAGCACAGCAGTGGAAAGCCATTTAAATAAAAATAAAATAACACTCAACTTGGAAGACTGACTTCCTGTCTTGAATGCAGACTGAATTCAGTCTATACATACTGCTAACGTAAAGAACATAAAGTTCAGGAAATGTGTTTGCTACTTACTCATCTTAAAAAAATCATGTACCTCATACAGTTACTGTCCCTTCTTTAGCCATGGTCACATTCATCCACTGTTCATTCATTGCTTGATCTTAACAAGCCAGCTATAAACGTTCCAAGCAGAAAACAGGAGCTTAGTATTTACCCTGTGGCCTAATGCTATCACAGAGCCACTTGGATAAAGGGAAAAGGTACAACATACTACTAAAAGAAGAAGAAGAAGAAGAGATTGGATTTATACCCTGCCCTTCACTACCCAAAGGTGTCTCAGAGCGGCTTACAAACTCCTTTCCCTTCCCCTCCCCACAACAGACACCCTGTAAGGTAGGCGGGGCTCAGAGAGCTCTTGACAGAAACTGCTCTTTTTCAAGAACAGCTCTTATCAGAGCTACGGCTTGCCCAAGGCCATCCAGCCACGTGCAAGTGGAGGAGTGGGGAATCAAACCGGCTCTCCCAGATTAGAGTCCGTGCACTTTAACCACTACACCAAACTGGCAAACAACAAGGATGTCACTTAGTCAAGTACTGATTAGTAAGATAAAAACAGCAAGCTACAAGTTAAATTATTAGTGCAGTATACATTAATTAGATCAATCAAATACATTAAAACAGAGTGACATTTTCTTCTAGAAAAATTCTAATACAAAAGGGAAATTATACTTTAGGCTGCATTTTTTTACAGTGCTCAGAATTGCTCTATGAAATTGATGAATGAAGTGCTCTGTGGAATCCATCAGTTCCTGCCCACAAAAATTTTGAACAGTTCACTTTCAACACTCAAAATCTTTTGGTTAAATAAGCAGCTATTCACCTTAAAAAATACAGCCTTAACACAAAACAGTTGCTGAGTTAAGAACTGTAGTCAAGTATTGCAGTGCATTCTGGTACCTGAGGGGTGAGATGGACTACTGCTTAGCTTTGATTTTGTGGCAAAGACAGGTTGCTGGTTTTACAACTGTTTAAAACTCAGCAGGACTTTGAATAACTGTTCTGTTATGTATATAACCTAAAGTCAAAGGAAATGAAAAACAGATCAATTATATTCTCCACACTGAGGTGTATAAAAACTATTGACACAAGCTGGGCATGTGAATCACTTTAAATATGCTATATTAATGTTCTGAGAAGACGCAGATCTTTCTGTTTTGAGAATTCTGCAGCTCTCCTTTTACACTTATTTCAGAGAGAAAGCTGTTTCCTGAAACAGGGATTTCAGAAGTGTAGAGTGTTCTTTATTAAATACGGCAGAATGAGATGCTTACCATTATAAGTTTATGGGTGCATGAACATCCATTAATCTGAAAGATGCATCAAAGTACCTATGACTGAAGACTGGAGCTATTCATTATTGAATTCCTCAAAGTATAAGCATTTAGGAGTCAGTTACAGTAGCGGTTACAAGCTTACATGCTACAACCTTTCTGCTTACACAAGAAATCTCAAATAAACCAACAGGTTCTCCCAGGCCACACCAGAATCGTTTTATTTACTGACTGGGGTGTTAGTGTGTTGCAGCAAAACCAAAAAGGAATCTCCGGGCATCCTAAAGACTGACATACATTGTAAAGACTTCGCAGGTTCAGAGGAAATCTGTTAGTCTTTGAGGTGGCCCAAAACTCTTTTTGGGGAGGCCACTTATCACTTTTGTTTAAATTGTCGACTTAACTTCATAAGCTTCTCGCGAGGGGGTTTCGTAATAAGGCCGAACCTGCATCACCTACTCTTACTTTAGATTATGCTTGCGACCGCGTATTTCTGCGCACGGACCTTGTCAAGGGCAGCACTGGGTTTCGGCGGGGATGTATTTTCAGAATCGCAGATGCCCTCAGCCAAACCCCAGCAGCGCACCTTCGACTCCTGCGTCACGAAAGAGAAACGAGAAGACCCCCCCGCGTGACCAACGCCGAGGCTCAGGAGTGAAAATGCGCTTCGTACTAGCCCGTCCTGACAACCATAAGGCTGGTTCAAGCACACGAAGGCGGCAGTCGGACTTCGGTCTCCGCCAGCCTCGCCTTTTAAATCCACCCTCAACACAGCTCCGTAGAGCGCCTCCACGTGAAATTTCTGCCATTGCTACGAAATAGCCACTCACCCACTTCCCGCACGCGGCTCTCCGGGAAGCCGCACCGACAACCAATAAAGGCCCGCCGTGGCTGTCCCCAAAACCAACAAGAACCCGACGAGCGACCGCATGGCTGCACCGCCAGTGTGACAACTGGCAGGAACTGAAAGAAACGTGGAACCAACAGAGCGGCCCCGGGGGAACTCGGGAGCAAAGTACACGCGATGACGTGAGACGCTCTGGGTTTTGTCTTTTCCATAGAACCCTCTCGGACGCGTAGCCTGAACTTCCGGTAAAAATCCAAGGCGGTTATTGGGTTTGGAAACTGTGAGAGGTGTCGCTCAGTTCCTGTGGTCTAATTCTTTGCTTAGAGTGGTGAACCAGTTCAAGTTCAGATCGGAATGCCAATAATGTTGGGCTAAATGTAAAAAGTCAGTTGCCTAGGAAGCACAGAAGCCTTAGGCAGTATCCCCCATCTTTCCCTGATTAGGGGAAAATGCTGGTCAAACAAATTGCAAAGATGATATGACTCCAATGGTAACAAGAAAAAGAAATTTTACCTACAAAAATAGGAGCAGGTCTTACATAACATATTCATGTAGGTACTTTTAACTTCTTGTGAACAGATTATTTCCCAAAGGGGGAGGCACTAAAGCTAAGGACAGCGACTGCCCCTACAGCTCCAAGCCCAGGTAACAGTAATCGTCTTGCATCCATTAAGCAGATGAATAATGAAGCAAGCGCTGACTCACGAAACATGTCCGCTTGAATAAATTGTGTTAATCTTTACAGAACCACTGAAGTTCTGTTTTATTTCAATCCTAGGATGGTTCCGGATTAGCGTGGTTTGCCTAACAACGTCCAGAAATCTCGTCCTCCTTTAACGACTGGAAGATTTACTGTACCATTAAACAAGTCCCCTCCCTATCGCCTACATTCCTAAACTGTAGGTAGCCGCCTTTCGAGGCAAAAGTAGTTTACGGTGCGCGCATGCGTCAGAGAAACCCCATCCGGCACCAAGGCGACGGCGAAAGCCTTTCGGAAATCAACTTTCGTTGGTGGTCACGCGCCCGACGCGGAAAAGTGAGGCATTTCCGGCCCAGCTGTTGCGGCTGAGGCCTATGTTCAAATGGCTCCCCGAGGGGCTGCGCTCTTGGTTGTTTCCACCTTCCTCTTGTCGCCGGGAAGTGGAGCCTTCGCTCCCTCCGTCGCGGAAAAGACGCTATCCCAGGTCAGGATATGGGAAGGCTCGAGGCGGGAGCCGAATTAATGGGAAGGGGCTGGGCGTCTCGTGCGTCTTTGAGCCTCTGGCGTAGGCCTGGGAGAGACGTCTTCTGGGCCTCTGTCAGACTGAGTTTTGCATGCCCCCCTTTTCTTACTAGTCAGAGCACAGAAGTTGGGTATTCCTCTAATCCAGCCTCCCGTCATGAGCTTTCTCCGTTTCAGTCCACACGATAAACTCTTAGTTTGATTTAGTTTAATTAAAACAGGGTTACATTACCGCCGATAACAAAAAAAAAAGTATTTAAAAAAAACAAATTTTAAAAAGACAGTAAAAGGAGCGAGAACAGTATTCGTGGAGTGGGAAATCACCTCAAATAAATTTCTATCTACTGATCCAAATAGTTTCCTTTACAGTGCATTATTTTTTCTAATGTAATTTAAGAAATCTTAAATCTAGTTGTGTAGCTTTAGGGAGGTTATTATTTACATGTCAGGAGTGTTATGTATGCTGATCGCCACTAGGGGTCCGCGGCAAAGACAGGAGCTTGGCCACCTGGACAATAGCCACTTGGTGGCTTGACTCCCCTGGACAATAGGAACATAGGATCCTAGTTCCCCCCAGCCCCAACCAATAGCCACTTTGGCGGGAAACTCAAACCCTCCAGTGGACTAGGGCTGTGCTGGGTGGGTGTGTATATAGTTGGCCTTGCAGGGCCGTTTTAGTTAGTCTGGTGTTAAGTACAATAAACATGTGCAACTCATGTCGTCGTTCTCCTCCATGTGGCGAACCCAGTACTTTTCAAGGGATTCCCCCAATAAAACACTGTTGCAGATCAAAACTTTTTGATCATGTTTCTGAAAATGCCTCTTGAGACTATGACTAATTTTCTTTGGAGTGGGGTGGCTAAATGTAGTTATGTGCACCTGTTAACTAAATTATTATTTTAGCCTTGGACAAACAGGTTATTTGTATATTAAAACAGATGCATAGTTATTTGAGAGTAAACCACAGAGATTTGGTTAGGCTGCACAAGTGTCATTTAAGTAATTATTTTCTGTGGGAGGGAGAAAGAGGCAAAGAGTTTTTAGTGAGAGCTAGTGGGTTTTTTTGTTTAAGTGTTCTTTTCTGACACCTTTGAAAGTAAGCTATATTGTAGGATGGCAGCAGCTCATGTGCGGTGCAAAGCTGAGAAAGACTGGTACGTCTTTCCTTTGGGTGCCCCATGCTGACAGCAGTTATTTTGCTGCACAGGCTATCCTGATTATAGCTGTCCTTTTCTGCAGTGTGGGTTGAAGCCTTGGGAGTGTGGGAAATGTATGTGCCATCTCAATGAGAAAGAAGCACCACATGACTGTAGCCATACTCTGCAGTTTTTTTAAACAGAAATGTTAAAGGAGGTGTGGAATAATATAAAGAATGCTGTTTCTGGCTTGTGTCAAGCATAAACTGATGAGTGTATAGGAAGTGGCAGGAGGCTTTGTAGTGACTACACAATACCAAGTGTGTTTTGAATCCCTTTGAGCCTGTGAATTGTAGCAATGGCATACTGTGACAGTTTCATTAAAGTACAGAGTGGGTGATGCAGGAAAGTGTATGTTTCTCTCCTCACCCCCTGGCTGTGTTTTGGCATTTCCCCCCAAAGCTGCAAATAAAGGAACATTTTGCTAAAGTTGGTTCCTCATGGTAATTTTAAAAGACACTTCATATCATGCAGATGTTATGGAATCATCCCTGTATTGTTCAGTGTCAAATGTGTAAAAAGCAAAGAAATCTATACTATGGTTGCACAGTATGCTTCAAAGAATTAGAGAGGAAATGGAAGGTACTTGCGTTGTCAAGAGATATGTGCCCTGTATGATGCAGCCTGGCTGTCATGCCAAGACATAGAGAATGAAGAGAAAGTACATTATCATGCCTTGCAACAAGATGTCTTGGTTTTAGAAGCAAAACCAATTGATGCTGAGAACCTAATTTTTATAAAGCATTTAATGATGAAACATAAAAAAATATTTTATACCTTTCATGCACATAATTGGGACAGTGCTTCAAAAGTTGAAATAGTGTGTCTCAAGACATATGTACAAAGGGGCAAAAATAAAATGTGTGCGTAGCATTACATGTTGGATTTTCTACACTTTAAGCATTTGACTTGTGCATCTTTCTAATATGAAAAGTTATCTCTCTTGCAGTGAGAAATCTCTTATATTAAGGCTAATAATAATTTACCTCCTTCCAGGAATGTATATGTAATTGGCTTGGATGTTAAGAGCCATGAATAGAGTGACGTTCATGGGTCTTTGTCTGTTCCCAGTTCCCCCTACACCCTCTGAAAATTTATTTCTGGTGGTCTGGAAACCTTTGAAGCTGACATGGGATGTGGCATGGAGGGTGAAAGATGCAGGGGAATCAGCAGAAACCCCCCTCCCCCAATGCACAAGCTGTGGTGCAAGCAGAGCTCCTGCAAGAATAGAGAGGTGTGACATGCCAGTTTCCCCTTTCTACTGCAGCTCCCCACATCACTTCCCATATAATTGCCAAGGATCCTCCAAGTCTCAGGATGCCTTTTTGGTTGGGATGCAGGGCCATAGTTAAAGTTGGTAAAGATCCTTTCTGTGTCCATTCATTGTTCTCAGGCTCCAAGCTATTGTGTGCTACTTTAGGAGTTATACAGTTGTTAGTTATATTTGCATGAATATATGAGTAGTACATAGGGTTGGAAAATTCTTACAAATCCAAAGCTATGGGGAAAAAGCTTTCCCCCATTTTTGGGGGGTGGAGTGGAAATATATGCAATGCTTACTTTCCTGTCAGTCTTAAAACCCGCTTAGGTGCTTTAGCAACATATAACACTTATATAACTTAGCATATAAAATTGTATTAGCATATTTATATAATTTAAAAGTATAACTGTCATTGCTTTCTACAAGCAGAATTGCAGATACATCCAATACTACAGTGAGACAGAGCTGTAAACTGATGCACCCTATCCTATTTTTCACCTATTCCAAAAGTGTATATGTGTATAAATGGATCCTCCCACCAGTGCGCCTCCAAATTCACAGCTTTTCCATTGGGGAAGAAATGAGAAGAACTTTTAAAAAAAATATACCATCACATCTGTAGTAATACATAAATAGGTCCAAGAGGATATTCCTTACTTTTCTTGCATGGGGATCAGGTTCAGTGGAAATGATATTGCTACTAGGGTCGAACTGCCTGAAATAAAATATTATCAAAACATCGTGATGCTTAAAAGCATAAGGTCTGAGTATCAGACTGCTTAGAACATCAAGAGCTTTACATAAGTTGTAGTAATTTCACGTACAAAGTTGATGAGTTCACATACACAGTTGATTAATATATCAAATGACCAACAAGATCATACGCATTTCAGCCTCTAGGGCCTTCCTCGGTGATCAACAATTTATACTGTTTCAGAAAGGCACACATTAAGAAGTTAATATATAAATCCAGACCAGAAGTTGCTTTCTGAAAATACAGTCAGGAAAAGAAGGCCAAACTGTTATAATAAATATAAGTATTATGAATACTATTTTAAAAAAAATCTATAAGAAACGAAAATAATTTCTACTTCCTATGTTGTGCGGTTGCTGAAAGTTTATAAAGCAGGCCGTGGATCTCTTCTTATGGTAACTGCACTCACACAACAAAATCTTCAATTATATAGCAATCTAAAAATTGAAAATTATATATAAGCTTACATTTATAGATATATAAGTATGCAAATAAATATTTAAATCTAAAAAGAATTAGATTTGCAAACCAACCTGGTATGGAATTTCCAGTGTGTCTGGATGTTTGTGTCATAAACCAAGAGTTGCAATAAAGTGGCTCATTTGTCATACTGCAGTCAGCTATATGATGGAGCTAAAGGATGATGCAATAACCCCCATGTGTTGGGTAATACAGCTCCCAGAGGAGGGAGGGGAAAGTAAGAGAGGAGAGGGAGGGGAAAGGGCTTAAGGATCAGCACTGTAAATCAAAGAACAGCAGGCACTTATTCATTCTCATTCAGATCCCAGGTCCAGGCCACTTCTTCAATCAGTACCATGGGTGTTAATGTCTGAAGATGATGTAGCCAGAATACTTTGCTTTTCTGTAGGAGCTTAAGCAGGCTTGAAGATGTATTCTGGACAGTTTCCACAACCCAGAATCACGACTGCTTCTCAGTGTGGCTGGAAGTAAGATAATGGCTGACAAGCGGAGTATTCATTTATTTTGATCTAATACAGCTCTTATGCTCACAAAGTCTCACCAGTGCTCCTCCAGATTCACAGCTTTTCCACTGGGGGAAAAATGAGAAAAACTTTTTTAAAAATGTACCATCACATCTGTAGTAGTACAGAAATATGTCCAAGAGGATGTTCTTTATTTTTCTTGCATGGGAATCAGGATCAGTGGAAATGATACCAAGGCATTTCTTTCTCTTACTGTACTTGCCCATAGCTAATTCTAAGTTCTGCACTAGAAGTTAACTGCTATAGAAATTTGGTTTTTAGAAGAATAGTCAGCCACAAGTGTGGTCCTCTGGGCAAGGACAGGCTACAATTTATTCTGATATTACTTTCAAGAAAAACAATACTGGGATGTGTACTTCTGATTTATTTTCCTTGAATTGTTTTTCATTGAAAACCAAAGGAAAATGAACTGTATCATAGTTTTTATTATTCACGAAGCTTAATTAAATGGCCTCTTCAGAGTTGCCTTATTTGATTAGTGTCATGGCATACTCAAGACAGCATGACTGTACTGTTCTAGGATAGGAAAGCTTTGGAGGTATTCTTTGATAGTGTAGCATACAGTCATGGGTAAATGCTGAAGGCATGGAGTAGCTAAGCTCTCTGCAATTAATAAATGAAAATTTGACTTTTCTTTCAGCTTTGTTACATACCCCACTCAAGTGGCCTCCAGACAAATTAGAGAAAGGGGTATGAAAAGGACAGGGCCCAGTGCTACGTATGTATAAGCAAGGTTTATTTATGTATTAAATTTGTGCCCTGCTTTCCCTTAAGAGGAGCTGCGGTGGCTCAAGTGGTTAAGACGCTGAACTGCAGGCTGTGGAAGGTCAGTAGTTCAGCGGTTCAAGACCCGGGTGCCGCAAGACAGGGTGAGCTCCTGTCTCTAGTTCCAGCTCCTGCCAACCTAGCAGTTCGAAAGCAAGAAATTGCAAGTAGATAAATAGGGACCACTTCGGTGGGAAGGTAACAGCGTTCCGTGCGCCTTGGTGTTTAGTCATGCCGGCCACATGACCACGGAAACGTCTTCGGACAGCGCTGGCTCTTCGGCTTTGAAACGAAGATGAGCACCGCAACCCTAGAGTCTGATTCGACTGGCTTTCGAGCAAGGGAACCTTTACCTTTCCCTTTCCCTTAAGAAAACTTAAAATGAACAATCTGCAGAGAGTCCTAAAATATTAAAATGTTTAAACTTTAAAGTAGTAAAACATCCAGTTCAGAGCTGTTCAAACAATTTTTTTCAACAATATAGACTATTTTACTCTATTTTGCATAAATATAGTAGTATAGAAGTTAACTGTTTACTATCTGGAGTGCTTTTTCTTTAGCATTTAGAGGTATCCAGCTGTTCTGCCACTTTTTGTCGTCCCCCCATTTCATATAGTTCTGTTGTCCACTGCACCCCTATATACTGAAAACTAAGTGGCAGTGAAGTCTAACTAATAACTGACATACGTTTTGGGAGAGGTTTTATATTTGTGCAGCAGATATCGCTAAATGAAAACTTTTCTAACTACTGCATTCTTTCTTTAGTTAACTACACTTAATTCAGCTTTATCAAGCTTTTTCCCCTACTCTGTAAGGTCAGACAAGTATCTTGGGTAGATCTCAATATAGTATTTGTTTGATGTCAGGAATATAGCTGTGTTACTTACTACCACTGGTTAAAGTGTTTTTTGTTGTTCAGTCGCACAGTCGAGTCCGACTCTTCCCGACCCCATGGACCAGATCATGCCAGGCCTTCCTGTCTTCCGCCGTCCTCTGAAGTTTGCTCAATTTCATGTTTGTTGCATCTATGACACTGTCTAACCATCTCATCCTTTGCCGTCCCCGTCTTCTTCAATCTTTCCCAGCATCAGGGTCTTCTCCAGTCCCTTCTCATTTGGTGGCCAAACTATTTGAGTTTCAGTTTCATTATCTGGCCTTCCAGGGAACAGTCAGGGTTGATTTCTTTTAGGATTGACTGATTTGATCTTCTTGCAGTCCAAGGGACTCTCAAGAGTCTTCTCCAGCACCATAGTTCAAAAGAATCTATTCCTCGGCGCTCGGCCTTCCTTATAGTCCAACTCTCGCAGCCATACATGACTACTGGGAATACCATTGCTTTGACCATGCGGACTTTTGTTGGCAGGGTGATGTCTCTACTTTTTATCATGCTGTTTAGGTTCGCCATCGCTTTTCTCCCAAGGAGCAGGCGTCTTTTAATTTCATGACTGCTGTCACAGTCTGCGGTGATCTGGGCTTCCAGAAACGTGAAGTCTGTCACTACTTCCACGACTTCCCCTTCTATTTGCCAAGGAGTGATGGGGCCGGATGCCATGATCTTAGATTTTTGATGTTGAGCTTCAAGCCCCACTTTTGCGCTCTCCTCTTTTACCCTGAGCAAGAGGCTCTTAAGGTCCTCTTCACTTTCTGCCACCAGAGTGGTATTGTCTGTATATCTGAGGTTATTGATCTTTTCCCCAGCAATCTTAATTCCCGCTTGTGATTCATCCAGGCCAGCATTTCGCATGATGTACTCTGCATATATATTAAATAAGCAAGGCGACAATATACATCCTTGTCGTACTCCTTTTCCTAAAGGCTTTAGCATAGTCAATAAAGCAGAAGTAGATGTTTTTCTGGTACTCTCTTGCTGTCTCCATAATCCAGCGAATGTTGGCAATTTGATCTCTAGTTCCTCTACCTCTTCGAAACCCAGCTTGTACTTCTGGTAGTTCTCTATCCATGTACTGTTGAAGCCTAGCTTGTAGGATCTTGAGCATGACCTTGCTAGCGTGTGATATGAGTGCAATTGTGCGATAGTTTGAACATTCCTTGGCATTGCCCTTTGGGATTGGAATGTATACTGACCTTTTCCAATCCTGTGGCCACTGTTGCGTTTTCCAAATCTGCTGGCAAATTGAGTGCAGCACTTAAACAGCATTATCTTTTAAGACTTTGAATAGCTCAGCTGGGATACCATCACCTCCACTAGCTTTGTTGTTAGTAATGCTTTCTAAGGCCCATTTGACTTCACACTCCAGGACATCTGGCTCGAGGTCAGTGATTATACCGTCGTGGTTGTCAAGGACATCGAGGTCTTTTTTGTATAGTTCTGTGTATTCTTGCCATCTTTTCCTAATCTCTTCTGCTTCTGTTAGGTTCCTACTGTTTTTGTCCTTTATCATGGCCAGCTTTGCATGGAACGTTCCCTTGATTTCTCTAATTTTCTTGCAGAGATCTCTAGTCCTTCCAATTCTGTTGTTTTCCTCTATTACTTTGCATTGTTCATTCAGGAAGGCCTCCTTATCCTTCAATGCCCATGGACAGTATCAAAAGGTTAAAGTGTACATGTGCTTATTACATTTTGCCAAAGTGTAGTAATAGTAATTTATTGCAAATGCACAATGGCTGTTACAATCTTATCTCAAATCGAGAGTACATAAAATACAGATGTTGATAGGAAATAATAAAAACAAGTTAGTTAAAAATTGATTAAGAAAAGCAGAGATAAAATTTTCTATACCCCCTGAAAATTAATGAATTGGTATGAGAATGTTACAGATCATGCAACATGTCAAACTTATTGGTGTGAAGTGCTATCACGAGGGAACTTTCTAGTGTGTATATGCATGTGTACCAGTTATTTGATGGTTAGGAATAAAATGGTGTTTTCATTAGCCCTTGAGGACGAGTGAATCAAATTTGGGAAGAACAGAGTATCTGCCTCCTTTTAACCTTTTGAAAGACTTTTTTCTTAAAAGTATTTAAATATTTTCTTTCCACAGTGCTCAGTTAAATATAGAAGACCCTGACCAGGAGCGAACAAAACGGCAAAAACTTGGTAATGCTTGTTCAGCCACTTCTCATGTGATTTGTTTGGCTTTGACTGTATATCTTGAAATGAAATGCTTTGGCTGTATGTCTTGAAATGAAGATTTATTTCTGAGAGCTTGCATTCAATGCAGAATATCCAAGTAGATCCTTGAGCACATCTCTCCATGCCCTCCCTTAGAAATTTCACCTATCTCGATATGTTTAAGACCAACAAAGTTTTATTCTGGGTATAAGCTTTCAAGTGAACACAGGAACACAAGTGAACAAGAGTATGTGTGCACACAAAACCTTATACCTGGAACAAAACTTTGTTGGTCTTAAAAGTGCCACTGGACTCAAACTTTGTTCATCTATCTTGATGGTTGGCTATAACTTGTTTGTGTGTGAGTATGCCGCTACTGGAGGACCCCAATTTATTGTAAATCAAAATTATACAACTATGGAAAGCCAATTTCTGTATGTTCTTCAGCTGAATTATTCAAATATTATTTTAAAAAATCAGTGCAGTAGCAAGGGAGGAATTATTGTCGCTAGGTCTGTCAATATAGGAGCCATTCTGCATGTCTTATTAATATGAGTGGAATTAGAATCATAGAATGTTAGAGTTGGAAGGGACCTTGCAGGTCATCTAGTCCAACCCCCTGCACTCTGCATAACTGCTCATGCTCTGGCAGGGTGGGGTGAAATTTAAAATCCATGTGAATATTGTCCTCTGTTACAGAAATAAGGTATAGCTGCAGTCTTGTACTACATGAAATTTAGGAAGTAGTTTTTGTTTTAATTGGAATGCCAGAGTTTCTAGATAGAATGTCATTTTATTATGTTTAAGGAATTTTAATGTGATATATTTAACTTTCCTAGGAATTTTCTGTGCATTTACACAAGGGATTGTCAGTCTACTTAAGCTACCATCCCAGCTGACGGCTAAGTATTTTCTGACTGGAGATCAGCATGCAGAAGCTACAGATGAGGTTTGTAAGGATTTTGAGAAAAGAGAGAGTTAGTACATTCAAGCCAAATTAACAGTGGGATCCTTGTCATGTCTTCTGTGGAATAGCAGTGTAATGAACGAAAGTCTCTTTTTAGCTGTAGGAGAGGATAATTTTATGAGCATCTTAGCTGACCAGAATCCCATCTCATGAAGTAAGCCTTAAAGATTTGACACCTGAATTAATGTCAAATATATCCCCAAGAGAAAACAGTGGAGAACTCACCCACACTTAATGGCCCATTGTAGGAAAATTTCCCTTAGTCTTATGCCTCTACTGTATATGGTCCAGGAGACATTGCCCGTTGTTGTGCTAGCTTTCTAGCTCTGCATCCATCCCCAGTAGTGCTGTGCAAAACACACATATTCCTGGGGAGAATAATTCACGTGGTCTGAACCTTGGAGGGGGACTTTTGCCTAGCCCCCCATTTTCTGTCTGGTCAAAGATGTGCCCCTTCATGGAACCCTTAAATTAAGGATTAGTAAGAAGGAGGCATTTGCTTAGTTTCGACTATGAATTTTGAAATGCTTGGCCAGCCTCATTGGGGAAACCTGAAGACCAGAAGTCCTTTGAGGTTTAGAACTGGCTAGATTATTTTGTTTTCTATGTTCTTTGTTTCCCCTATATCTCTGTGTGTGCTTAGAATAAACTTTAAAAACTGGGAACCTAGTCTTGACAGTCTCCCCCCCACCCCCATGGTCAGTTGCTCAGCTCACATAACATTTAAGGGAAAGGTTGAGTGGGGAAGCCAGTTGCCTGCTGCAGACCAGGGCCTTGCCTTATTATTCCTCCTGCAGCTGAGAAGGGACTTCCTCTGGCACATACACACTGTGATGGCTGAGGCTCAGACTGTTCTGAGGCAGTTAATTAGGACCACAAAGTGTTACCCCTGGAGACGTGGCAGTGCCACTCATGAGTAGACAATTTAGAGGTGTTGTGTATCGTGCATAAAGCCTTAGCTTCTAAACACAGATGCCCGCGCACACCCTCAGCAGATTCCCAGTGCTTTATAGGTAGCCTAATAGAATTTAGGTTTGTAGAGATGACTCAGTAGCAGGGTGCTGCTCTTAATTTAAAAGGTCCTTTTTTCTGTGTGGTTGTCTTCTCCCCTATCCCCAGTGAAGAAGCAGACCCTGTCTAAGCAAGGACTCTTCCTGTGAGTCCTTACATGTTAGTTTAAAACGGTATAAACAAATAGGACTTATGAAATGTCCAGGCAGGTACTGTACAGGCATTAGTTGTTCACTGTCAGGTGGTGAAACAAATTGCCAACTCAGATGTGATATCAGGCTACTTTGGATTCTGTTGCTAGCAGGTGGGGGGCACACTGCTGCATATACTTAGATTAGGCAGGTCTGCAGTTCCTCTGGCAGGGCTGTCAACTAGAAGGTCCTGTGGAAATCAAATGCTTTTATTGCAAAAATAGTTTCAGTTCTACAATGTGGAAAAGTTCTGGTCTAAGTGAACATGAACGCTGCTAAAAGATCTCCCAAGTGTTGACATTGCTCCATAGTAAATACCCAATAATTTTATTTTTTTAATAAATGATGTGTCCATTTGGAGATCAGCATGCTGAGGTACTTCATTGGGAAAACAGATTAAAAAAACTAGCTAGGCATGTCAAGAGAGACGTACAGGGTTTAGCAATTTGTTTCACCATTGAAAGTATATCTTCTGTGGCACTAATGTACCAAAAGCTCAAGACTTTCTAATCTGAACTTGTTGTGATATATCACTTTAAGTTACATGAGAATAAGCTTTATGTCTTGGGCATATAGCTGTGAGTTTCACGCCATGGTCCTCAGAATCATAAAATAGTAGAATAATAATTTGGGCATGTTTTGTGTTCTGAGCAATAACACTGGGTATGGGAACCGTATGGATGTCGTACATTTGAAGTGACTGGAATAATACTTATGCAGACACATTTCTTTAAGTTTCTTCCAAATGCTTCTGGTACTTTGGATGCTGAGCTAATGGAACCTACGTCTGGGATGCAAATGGTTGAACTGAGTAAGTTGGACACATACTGTAATTCTATCTATGATCTGTTTGGTCTAGCCAACTGTGACATTTCATTTAGCATTATACATCTCACATTAATTGAGGCAATAAAATAAAAATACTCAGAGCACTGGATTTTGTACTCCCATTTTCTCACTGTTGCATTTTCTCTTCAAAAGCGGCTTTTATAACAATTCTACTTCTTAACAAGTACTTGTGCTTATGTAATGTTTTATATTATGGAATGAGCTGCAGAAGTGTTAGATTCAGGCTGTGGCTGTATGCAGACATCACAAGTCTCTGTTTATCTGTGCACTACCTTCCCCCACATGCTATTGAAACATTGTTCTAAACTAGGAAGTTTTCAGAGTGAAGCTTGTTGTGATTTATGAATAAGGTGAAATGACAAACTGTGTGGCTTGCTTATTTATTTAAAATTTTCATATACCCACCTTTCTCTCAGGCATTCCAAGACACAATGTAAACCACAATGTGGTCACAATGTAAAACAAAACCAGGTCCCAACCAGCATGTCAGGCTCAAGCTACCCCTCAAACTCTCCAGAACAGCTCTGTTTTGCTGCCTCACTGAAAGGCCAGGAGGTAGGAACCTCTTACCTCTTCTGGGAGGTTCATCCCGAGCCTTGTAGAAAAGTTGTAGGATTCTGGAGCTTTCCTTGCAACCTAATTATTGGCCAGGAGAATTCAAGCCCTTGTTTGCTTGCAGGTGTGCTCCAAAGGAGTGCTTTATCCTTCCCGTTGTTGTGGCCAGCTAGAACCCTTCTTGTAAGCAGATTTGCTTACAGGTGGATTCTGTAGCTTGCCACTTAAAACAGCAGGTTGGTGCTCGTAGTAATAAGCTTAGAGGGCTTCAGTGGTCTCCCTTCACAATGGAAGGAAATATGATAATCCTCTGGGAGCAGCCCAACAACATAATTGTTAGTGATACATCCTATTGCCTTTTTCCATCAGATAAAAAAGCTGCTTATGGTACCAGTGGGCATCCAAATGAAGAGATGGCTCCTAATGGTAGCAGAGTTATGCCCTTTCTGAGGTAAAAATCTTCCATTTAACTTTTTTGTTCATCACTTTAAAATTCAAACTCACTAGTGGATTCAAAGTTTTCAGGCATGTATTACCGGTACTCCTCTTGTAGTAGTTCTCAGTTTGTTCTTATATGAACTGCTGATTATTGACTGGTATTCAGGGCTGCAGTGCCATAGATAGATATCTCACAATTTGTTCCACAGTTCATTTGGGGAGGGGCCGTGGCTCAGTGGTAGAGCATCTGTTTGGCTTACCGAAGGTCTCAGGTTCAGTCCCTAGCATTGCCAGTTAAAAAAGATCTGGTAATAGGTGATGTGAAAGAATTCTGCCTCAGAGCCTGGGGAACTATTGCCAGTCTGAGTAAACAGTACTGACCTTGATAGACCAGTGGTCTGATTCTGTTTAAGACAACTTTGTATACATATTGCAACTTAAAACTCGGTTAAACTAACCATGTAAATAAATTGGGGGGAAGAGTCATGCATGCATGCTGCACTTCACCATTGCTGCAAGGTTGTTCTCATTTCATGTTAAAAGGTTGTTGACACTTCAGCATTACTCAGGAGAGAAGTACACTTTTTTAAGGTCCTAGGTGATGTGGGCCCCATTAAGAATAACTATCTGTGTGCTTCTATGAGCCCCTCTCAGACATCCTGCATTTCTGCTTCTTTTTCTGAATTCCACTAACTTCACCTATGCTAAACTGATACCATCCAATATGCAATGTCCATGGCTTGGCTCTGCATTTAGCGTTTCTTTAAAGTGCATAGAAGAGAATGGTTGAGGACTAAGGAGCAAGTTTGTTGAGAGGACTAGATGCAAAGAGTCTGGGAAGATAACAGTATTATACAAGCTGGAATGGGGGTTTGGTTTCAGGAGTTGAGAGGAATAAATGTAATGTTGCATTCGCACAAAAAAGATTTTTGTTAGCCACTGTTTTTTCTGGTGTGTCTAACACAGCAGTGACTTGCATGGAGCTCTTCCTGGACAGGCAGCCTAAATATCTTGGAGGCATGTTTTGGTCCTGTTACATAGAAGCAGCCTTTAGGGGTGCTGACTAGAGCTTAGGAGACCTTGCCCAATAGAAAAGCATTATCTTAAAAGGAAATGGAATGAGACTCTCATTAGTCGTTCTTTGTTCCTGAGGAAGGAACAAAAGTCTGAAACACTGGAAAATTACCTAGGAAAAGTGTTGGACTTTTGTGGATATTTATCTTGTATATTTATTCTTTGGCTCCTGTATTTTCCTACGATGGACTCTTTTGGCTTCTGCATTTTCCTATGATGGATTATATGGGTAGATTTATTCCAGACAATAGATGCATTTCACTGTAATGAAGTCTCCTTTGTGAATATTTTGCGGGAAATTCAGCTCACAGTTATTTTCTGTTATTATTTGCAAACTACGGTAAATATCTTGACAAGAATTTATCTGTTACTCTTTACAAATTTTGGTATCAGTTTAGCATAGCTGAGGTTGTTGGAATTCAGAAAAAGCAGCAGAAATGCAGGACGTCTGAGGGAGGCTCATAGAAGCACATAATGGGGGGTCCACATCTCCTATGACTGTTAAAAAAGTGTCACTCAGGAAATAAGAATCACGTTTAACATTAAGACACTGGCTGATGTCCATCAGGCACAAGGTTCTCATTGAATCTGTGTCACATGCATTTATCATAAATGTAAACAATTTGCCATGTCTGGAGTGCTGTTTTATGTCTAAATTTTTCTTGGGGTTTTGGGGGTCATTTAATGATAATTGTGCACGTGGTGGGTGTTGATGTTTAATCCATTAAGAGCTAATGATACAATGTGCTGTCTGCTGCATATTTTTACTGTTTCCATGGATCTTGACATTTAAACTGATGTAAAGAGGACTATGCTGTAGTCTGCCTAGGGATCCTCAGACTTGTATATTTCCCAGAATGAAAATGTGCATGTTTTAGTAGTATGTTTAATTCTGTACTTCTTTGTTGTTGTTTCTTGTCAGGAAGGACTGTGGTACCAGAAAGAATGGCAAGACAAATAATACTTCTTTTTCAGAGGACTTGCTACCCTGGAGAATTGGAGTTCACAGACATATGTCAGATACTCCTCCTATCAGTACAGGAAGGCTTTTAAAAAAACCTCACTACACAGTGGAAGAGGTATGTCCAATTACATATAACAATTGTATTCTGAAATACCTTTTATCAGTGTCTAGTATTTTATTATTTATTTATGTGATAACTTGCCTGTCTTCTATCATGAAACTCAAGATGGCTTGCATAGTTTTCGCTGGTGGTCTCCCATTCAGACACTGAACATATTTGGCAATGTTGCTAGGTTTGGTGTCTTAAGATAATCCCCTGGGGACCAAGAGAAACACCTCCTACAGAGCATTTAAGATGTGCCTGAATCAGTGCTGCTGACTGGAGTAATTGACTTCTGACAAAATTAGTGTCATGGTTCCTTAAAGAATGGGCTTTGTAATTCTCAGTTTCTTCAGCTTTAAAACTGGGAGCTTATACATGTTACATTTTCTGCATCACAATGCTATTCTAGTTCTCAGTTGCAATGGGTAGAAGTCTTGTAATCTGAACTGTCATACCCAGTGGGACAGTAGGAGATGAGTCACTTCATCTTTGCACTGCAGCTTCTCACACTGCATCTCTCCCATGCCATTCCTGAATCTCAGTAGCAGTTTTTCAAGGACCACAGAGAGCTACCATCGGAAGGAGGGAACCACAAAGATCCATTCCACAAACCACAGCTACACATGCATTTGTTTAGATCTGAGGCATGCACTTGATTAACAGTCTATTGAACTATAGCTTCCTAGCATACAGAAGATTTAATATCTGTTTATAAAATGTCCTATTCATTTATTTTAAATGATTATGTAGTAAAATGATACTATATACCCCAGATATTGGGTAAAAGAAATTCCACTTTGTTTTATGAACATTGGGTTTGCAGTCTGACTACTAAAGTGTTAAGCCCAAACTGTCCTTACAGGTAGTCTCGTCAAAAGAAAAATCTAGCCCCTCCCCTGCTAAATTGTAAGCTAGAGTTTGGTGGAGTAGCCATTCCTAAAGTAATGAATATAGACCTGTAAAACAAAAGGCGCACCAGGACTTGCAGGCTGAAAGCATCTAGGCAATGGGGACTTTTGAGCCTCAAAAGTTACCTGACTGTTATAATGTTTTCCTTCTCTCACTGGTGAATTTACTGTCAAACTACAATGCTTCTAGTGACCTACCAGTGGTAATGGAGAGAACCTTATTTGTAAAAGGGAATGAGCGAGAGAGAGCTGGATTGGTGAACTGCTCATTGTAATCTAGCAACTTGAAACCTGGGCCAGCTGAGTAAAACTCACACTTCCCAATGTAAAAATAATGGCTTGTGGAATTGTTTTCCAAGGTTTTTATCCCACTTTTCCAGTGTGTACTCTTCAAGGCAGCATACATTATCAGAAAAAGGCAAAACCCAGTTAAGATCCATTGTGTGTGAAATTAGAAAATACAATGTATTATTCTGAAATTCTTCAAGGAGTTCAGGGTGACCTCCGAAGTTCTTTTCATCCAGTAGTGACTAGCTCATTGTCCCCCATTAGTTCCTGGCCAAGCAGGAACTTATTAATATTATTTTATTATTATTATTCATTCATACCCCACTTTTCTCCTGGGGCTTAACCTTTTGATTGCTTCTAATTCTGAATCTATGGCTCTTTTGGCAAAATTACTATTTTGACTGTCACTCAAACACATGGCCCAAAATTAAGTGGGCCTGTATTTGTACTCTGTTGCTAAATCTTTTCAATTATGGCTGGTCTGAATTCAGTCTTTTTTCCTCTAGTGTATCCATCAATCACTGACATGCAGTGTTCCCTCTAAGATGAGTTAGTGTGAGCTAGCTCATAGGTTTTTTTAGCCTCTAGCTCACACATTTTTTATCTTAGCTCAGGAAGGAAGGATCCAGAGCAAACTAATTTATGCAGTAGCCAAATCACTCGCTCACAACTATAATGCCAGTAGCTCACAAAGTAGAATTTTTGCTCACAAGACTCCGCAGCTTAGAGGGAACATTGCTGACATGTTAGATTTATAAAGCAAGAGATGATGTCGTGATTAAGTGAGAACACTCTAACCTGGGAGAACCGGGTTTGATTCCGCATTCCTCCACTTGCAGCGGCTGGATGACCTTGGGCAAACCATAGTTCTGTCAGAGGTGTTCTCTCAAGGACAGTTCTCTCAGAGCTCTCTCAGCCCCACCTACCTCACAGGGTGTTTGTTGTGGGGAGGAGAAGGGAAAGGAGTTTGTAAGCTGCTCTGAGACTCCGAGTGAAGGGCGGGGTATAAATCCAGTCTCCTCCTCCTCCTTGTCTTCTTCTTTTATGGTAACTTCATTGCATTTATCTTCCCTCTGCAGGGGGTTCAGAGAGGCGAGAGAGAAAAATACAGACAGCTACTTGAACAAGAAAAAGAAAAGAGCCCTAAAAATTATGCCCATCCCGCCGTAGGAAAGCACTCAAAGTAAGTCACTGCTATGCTGTGTAAAGCGTAGCAATAAAAAACAGCAATTGAAATGGATAAGGATTCTCATTAAAGAGGGAAACGGCTCTTGCATTTCCTTTTGAAATGTAATTTGATACTTAGTGGGACCAAACTGACTAATGTTATTGTGGTTTTTTATGTTAGAGGTGCTGATTGGTTGAGCATCCACAAGTACGAATTTGGTGTTTGGAATCCACAAATGTAGTAAGCAAGTGTGGAAAAAGAACAATCAGCACAAACATGCAGCGTGTTTGCTTTAAATAGCCAGCCATTTCCCCAGGCTCTTTGCAGTTGGGGTTGTGGTATTGCTTTAAACTGCTGTATAGTTGTATGACTCCCCCCTCCCCTTCAAACCTTTGTTGGTTTTATGGAACTATGTTGATTGTTGTCTTTAGTATCAAAGAATATGGGAAATGATGTTCAATAAAATGTTGCTGTGTAGCTGAAACTTGGGGATTTTCTTAACTGGGGGGAAATTAACTTTTCCATCTTTCTTATTTTGAATGTGCTGAATCAAGTGTCCAAGGACATGAGTTGTTAATGTCTGGTTGCTGTGTGGAAGTAGATGTCCCTCCAACTGTGACACCAAGGAACGGCAAGTATTAACTGTACTTACCATTTGAGCAAGTGTTCATAGCAGAGAGAAGAAGTCATACTGCTTTAGATGTTGTGGGAAATAAAACGGTACAAATGAAAGTTCATGTATCTCCATAGTGAGTAGCACATCTGTAAGTATATGTTTAAGGACCGTTGCCAGACTTTGTTCTGGGGAGCATCCTCCATGTATCCAGATGGTATCACCCCTACTGATGAACTATGAACTGATATTTGCATAACTGTGGACTGATTATTGCTGACACTATGACTTGTGCTCACACATATACACTCAGAGGTCCAGGGAACACCGTTTGAATTGCCAGAGTTAGAGACTTTCACCTGAGGGAAGAAAGTTTGCTTGCTGCCTGCACTGTCATGCTAATGAACCTGGTGACTTACACAAAGGCCTGGCCTGAGGGGGAGAGAAGAAGCACATGTAGCCATTGTTAGCAAAAGACCACAACTTAAAGACAAGCAGCCTCCATGGATGACAGACCTGCTGGCATGCAGTCCGCATATCAGCTCTACATCTGAATTGCTGGTTCCTGTGGAATGTTTATTCGATGCCTGGGAAACCTGTTATTTATCTGCACAGATTCTGGAGCAGAGCCTTGACACCTAACCAGATGGTGGTTCCTAAGTTAGAGGGTAGTATTTCAAGCATTGACCAACCCCTAGGTCAGCCCCCTTACCTACATTCACCAATGATTTTAGGGATGGGACGGACTAGTAGTCAGGTGAGTCCTTTGGATGTCAAAGTTGCCAACAACGCCAAAGATTCAGCTTATATAAGGCAGAAGCCATGTGCCATGCTTTTGCTAGCTACATCCCCTTTCTTTGTCTTTTGTCTTGTTTAAGGTAAAGGTAAAGGTTCCCTTGCTCGAAAGCCAGTCGAATCCGACTCTAGGGTTGCGGTGCTCATCTCCGTTTCAAAGCCGAAGAGCCAGCGCTGTCCGAAGACATTTCCGTGGTCATGTGGCCGGCATGACTAAACACCAAGGCGCACGGAACGCTGTTACCTTCCCACCGAAGTGGTACCTATTTATCTACTTGCAATTTCTTGCTTTCGAACTGCTAGGTTGGCAGGAGCTGGAACTAGAGACGGGAGCTCACTCCGTCTTGCGGCACCCGGGTCTCGAACTGCTGAACTACTGACCTTCCACAGCCTGCAGTTCAGCGTCTTAACCACTTGAGCCACCGCAGCTCCATTTGTCTTGTTTACCAACCTCTTAAGTCCAGCTCTTTGTCTTGGTTCCTGGGTGCATGCTTTTTTGATTTCTCTGGTGTGTACAGCCAAGAGAAGTCCACACTTTTGCTAGCTGATTTCTAGCAGTGTGAATAGAAGAATCCCTAGGTTCTAAGTTCCAACCCCTCATTCTTCATGGCAACAGAGGAGGCTTCTGGAGTCATATAAGTGTATAAATCGTTTGTCCTACTTACCTCCTAAACAAACTATTTTTCCATTGCTGTATGTCTAAAGGAACTTGGTTGCTATGTGTGAGAATCTGTATTGTTTGAATGAGACTTGAATATCCTTCAGTAAAAGACAAAATTGATTTTAATACACCAGTCTCGACTCTTTCACTGGAATTTCTTGGGTTTGATTGGACCTCTGTAAAAGCTGGCAAGAACTCAACTTAAATTTAGTACCCTCTGCTGTAGATAAAAGCAGTTGAGCTAACACTCCCCTTTTATATGCTTATTTGTGGAGGAATGGGAACTTTGATTTTTCTGTAACATATGAAACAACTCTTAAAAAGAAGGGGCTTCCAAGCAATACATGTAGTTGACGTAGAAGCTGTCTGGAATGGATTAATGGCAGAAAAAATAGCAATTGCCAGTAATTAGTAAAATAAGAATCCCCCATCTTGATTAGAGATTACCCAAGGCATGTTTACTTCCAGCAGCATTTAAGGGAGCATGGTAGGCTGATGGGGGGGGGGGGGAGACAATGACAAGTGACTTTGAATATAACCCATAGAAACTGGGATATGAAACAGATAGTAAACTGTACCAGTATTCATCTTTGAAAAGGAAGCCAAAGAGTTCATTAGAAATAGGAATTTCTAAATATTTCAAAAGAAACATATTGATAAAGTGAGTTTAATTTGTTCTTTCCATTTTAAATCTGTTATTTAATTTGGCATTAATTCTATATCAAATAACTTTGAATTAGATGCAGGTTATTTAAGCTTCCTTTCATAAAGGATAAGTCATAATCTTGTATTTAAAGTACACTAGTAAGTGAGAAATAATTTACAGATGGAATGGATGTAATAAAGCCTTCATCTTGTTTTGTAGTTTGCTGTGCAAATGTTATGATGATCCTGTTGAAGGTTGCCCTGAACCTATGGATGGGCAGAATAGAATGTTTTAATATAATAAAGAGAGCTCTTATTCTTTGCTGAAGATATAAGTTGTTACTGTCATGGTAAGGCAGTAATTTTATTGTGTTCCTTGCACATCTTTTTCAAAGGTATCAGAAGCTTTGATTCCAGGTGCTCTAGAAGAGATGTAAGCAGGTAAGAGTGAAATCTTGGTGTGGCTGTCATAGTGTTGGGCTTTTGAGTAGAGTGGTTGAGTATTAGAGCACAAGAATTTGTGTCTGTATGTAAGAAAGTGTGAAAGAGCTTATTTTTAATGTATACTGTTATGTTTACTGTATCAATGAATAATACCCAAGGGCATCAGTTATTTCTTCAGGGCAGGAACAGTTTAAATATAGCTACTAAACCATAATATGAAGCTGCCTTATACTGAATCAGCCCATGAGTCTATCAAGATCAGTATTGCTTACTCATCTTGGCAGCTGCTCTCCGAGGTCATCACCTGCTGTCTGGTCCCAAAGCTACAGTCTCCCCCGTAAATCAAAAAGTTAGTGGCTTCTGTGTTTCTTTTGTATTTGGGGAATTTATGCTAGGTATATACTGGGTCTCCAGCCTTTGGCATCACTGTCGTTTTGGAGCTCTTACTGAATTTTGGCATCCCTACCATGCCAGTGGTATTGTAACTGTTTGCTGAGAAACTTTTTTTTTGTCCTGAAACATTTCTAGCTATGCCACTGTAATTCTTCACTGTGTAGCTTTGTTGTGCCTTGGGTGTGTGTGGGGGGTGATGTTCTGAGTATTTTCTGGTAAGCAGCACAGAGGGGTGGGTGTGCTGCTATGTCATCCTCCCCAGCGAATGGTGCTTCCATTTCTGTTAGGTATATGTTAGTATTGATTTAGAAAGAATAAAATGCTAGTGAGCTTTCTTCCTGTTGGGCAAAAAGTGCTTTCCATGTCTGCCTTCTCACCATGAGTTATTTTCACTTTGTTTCTTTCAGCCCAGTAATAGTAGCCAAAAGATCTTCAGAGCTTGAAAAGCTCATAGCACAGAGAAAAGAGGTGAGCCCTGGAGAAACGCATGCCCTGTTATGAACCTTTTCTACTTCCCTGTATAAATGTATGTTCTAACTTCATTTTTCCCAATGTGGATCCAAAGTGGCTTCTCCATTTTATCCTCACAACAAGCCTGAGAGGTAGCAGCAGAAAAGAGCAAGAGTCCAGTAGCAACTTGAAGACTAACAAAATTTGTGGCAGGGTGTGAGCTTTCGTGAGTCACGGCTCACTTCTTCAGGGATCTGAAGAAGTGAGCAGTCACTCACGAAAGCTCATACCCTGCCACAAATGTTGTTAACCTTTAAGGTGCTGCTGGACTCTTGCTCTTTTGTGCTGCTACAGACAGGCTAATACCTGAGCAGTACATTAGGCTGAACATGTGTGACTGGCCTCAGATCACCCAGGAACTTTCCATGGCAGAGTGAAAATATGAACCTGGGTTTCCCAGGCTTTAATCCAGCACTCTAACCACTACACCATGCTGGTTCTCAGCATTTGCAGATAATAAAACTTTGTGTTGTTTTTCAACCAAAATTGGATAGTTAAGTGATTTAGAAAGTTCATCACAAAGGTACAATATAAAATGTCAGATATATGTTGGGGTATGGGGAATAGAGGGAGGAGGTTACACCTTACAGATCTTTTCTCTAGTTCTGCTTTGTACATTTTGTGTGGCTCTTGTTGCACCAGCCTGGCCTGCCTGTTCCTTTGCCTCTACAGTGTTCTCTCATCCACTTGTCCGTCATGCAGCCAGTCTTCCAGCCTGCCTCCTTGCTGCTTTCCCCTTGGCTGTTTGCCCCCCTGCTCAGTTGTCTGCTTGTCAGTTTAGTGAAGTATGGGGTGTAGGGAGAGGAGACATGCAGGGGAAGCAAACCGGAATAGCTCTAGCTTCCTCTTCATGTCTGCTCTTTGTGCTGTTGCTGCCATGGTTTTCCACAGCATCAACCGAATATGCCACTGAAAGGTTTTATTGAGTCATGTCTGCATCTACTCAGACACTGCTTCTTGGTTGTGTTTATTTCTACCACCAGGTTTTTTTTTAACATTTAATATTTTTCTATGAATCTCCCCCCCCCCCCGGCCTGGATTGCAGAAACCTGTATCCTAGTTCTGCTGGTGCTATAGTGTGGTGTTGGTTGTGTTTCTTTGATGAACATGCGGGCTGTTCATAGCTGTCAGATAAGCAGATGGTACTGAGATTTTAACTCTAGAGTAGCTTTAATGCTGCTTTCCTGTGAAAAAGCCAGTCACAGAAGGATCTCCAGGATTCAAGATTCACTATGATTTTTCCCCTTTTAGCAGCATGGAAAGCATCCCTCAGCGAATGACCTATCAGAGGAAGTGTTGCTTAGGTTAAACCTGAGCAATGAAGGTTCTTCACGTAGAAGGAGCTCTCAAGTTGACCTAGAAGAACAGAAGTATCTGAGCTGGGACAAGGCTGCACAGTGCCTTCCTACCCTTACAGAGGTACCATTTTTCTGGTAGGGTTGTTTGGTGTCATGTACTAATATCTGATTTTTGGAATGGTCGTTTTCTGTCATCTGTACTGTAACACTTTTATTTCATCACAGTCTGAACAGAAAGCTGGTTTTAAAAATTAATCGCAATGTTCAGTATGCAACAAATTGTGAGCTTTTGATTTGTTTATAGTCTAAAGGTTAGAGAAATGTAGAGAATTCATTTCCCTCCTTCCCGTTTCCTTAATTTTCTCCCTCTCTCTCTTTCTTTTGCTCATGGAGCTCATTACAAAACCTTGCTCTTTCAGGATATGGAGAGAGAGATAGACAACGTGCTGAGCCATGGCCCAGAGGATGAAGTTTTGAGTAGTGCCTTCAAGCTAAAGATCACACGTGGAGATATTCAGACACTAAGAAATCAGCACTGGCTTAATGATGTGGTAAAACTGAAGTTGGGGTGAAGGTTCTCTAGAGAATTGGTGTAAATTCTAGAATCCAACAATTTAGCCCATTACAACTGTAACATATCTCTCCCTCTCAAGAGACAGACATAGAATCTCTGATCTTTTTCTCCCCTTTCTGATTTCCCCTTGTGTTTGTAGATCATTAACTTCTACATGAATCTTCTGGTAGACCGAAATAAAAGGCCAGGACTTCCAGTACTTTATGCTTTCAATACTTTCTTCTATCCTAAGCTAAATTCTGAGGGCTATGATGCAGTCAGAAAATGGACCAAAGGAGTCGACTTGTTCCAGTATGATATGATCTTGGTACCCATTCATATTCAGATACATTGGGGATTATTGGTGAGTCCATATCAGCTTTCTCTAGTAATTTCTTTCAGAAGAGGGGAAGGGTATAAGGTGGCATAGACTGTGACAGTTTCATTAACCGCCTTTTCCAATAACAGGTTGTAGACATGAGGAGAAAGGCAATCAAATATTTTGACTCAATGGGACACAATGGCTATAGGATCTGTAAGAGATTGCTGTAAGTAGGTGCTTGCTAACAGTAAATTGTAGAAGTGTATTTCCCTTTACCATCGCTTATAGTTGGTTTATTCTAATTTCTGTATAAAACTTCTAATTAAAGGTATGGGGTTGTCACCTTAGGTACTCACAAATGGCCGAAGATCAGCAACTGTTTGACATGGACTTGCTGCTACTCCAGCTGAATATGTAGCTTTGCTACTGTATAGCTGTACAAAGCTAGTGTGGAAGTTATTACGAATTTTTGACTCTTCCATTCAGTTTGAATGAGTAGTTCATGAGTGTCATTTAAAGTGATAAACTTGTCTCCAGAGGGGGTAGTACATTAATCTAATGAAAGCTGTATGGTAATTTGCAGTAATGTGGTTGTGTAAAATAGCTGTTTGTATGAAACATGATCATTGTGGGATGTATGATTTTGAACACTGCTCTCTGTTTGTTGTAGTTTTGAATGGTATTTTCCCCCCTTATGATATCTTTCCCATTGAAAAACTCGGTTATAAAAGACTTGGCTAACTTTATGTAGTGATACACTCTATGCTTAGGAGAACCTTTATAGATGTATCTTATTTTATTGAACAGACAATATCTGCAGGAAGAAAGCAAAGCCAAGGGAAACCTGGACATTAATGCTTCATCGTGGACACTTTACAGTATGAAACCACATGTAAGTGAGCATCTTTTGCATTTTACAGACTATGTTCATTGGCACATGGATTACAAACTAAACTTCTGAAGCGCTGAATGTTGGATTTGTTGAAGGCTTTCTATAATATTGCTTAAATGAACTCACAATAGTGTCGTATACTAATCTTTTCAGCCTAGAAATATGTTTGTTTGGTGTTAAATACTAACTCTACCTTGAATAAAGCCAGTACAGTGGCAAAGGGGTCTCGAGGTTTAAGTGGTATAGATTTCATAGAATGTCTTTTTGGAATGTTCCCTATCTTGAAGTCTGAAGTCTAATTTATGTAAAGCAAGCATGTTAATATAGTGTGTGGGGGGTGGCAGTTTAGAGCCTCTGTAAATTCAGTAAACCTACAATGTTAAACCTACTCGAGAAGACCCTGATGCTGGGAAAGATTGAAGGTCAAAGAAGACGGGGACGGCAAAGGATGAGATGGTTAGACAGTGTCATCGATGCAACGAACATGAAATTGAGCCAACTTCAGAGGACGGCGGAAGACAGGAGGGCCTGGCGGGAGCTGGTCCATGGGGTCACGAAGAATCGGACTCGACTGTGAGACTGAACAACAACAACGTTAAACAAAGCAAAAATAAACTAATAGATACCTTTGTATCTTTATTTCCACCCCTTTTTCCATTTAGGAAATTCCTCAGCAGCTGAATAGCAGTGACTGTGGAATATTTGCTTGTAAATATGCAGACTTTATCTCCAGGGATAAACCCATTATGTTTACTCAGGTGAGTGATTAACATTTTAGGAAAACCTGTTCCTTTACTGCTGAATGTTTTAGGAATTCAAGCCTGTGCCACATTACCTCCAGAATAGGTTATTGCAAAGGAATCTTTCATTGGGAATAGGGAGAAGAGCAAATAACCGTGGCCCTGAACACTTCCATGGTTATAGGATGTATGGGCATTGACTCCTGCATAGACTGGCATTTGCCTTAATGAACACATTGAGTAATTCAAGGTACTTTCTTCTTGCAGCATCATATGCCTTATTTCCGCAGAAGAATGGTATGGGAGATACTTCATCAACAGCTACTGTGACACCAGGCCTCTGACAGAGGTGCACTTGCACAGTACCCTTGATGGCAAAATAAGTTCTGTGTTCAGCTGCTAATACTTGGATCTGTCTCTGAAAACAAAGACACTGGTCTGGTCTCACTTTCAGGGATGGATGATAATCCAAAGGTTTAGTTGAAAAGCAAGTTCTGCATCTGAGCTTGAAACTCCTTCCAAAGGAAATAAAATGGATTAAGACTGGACTTTAAAGGAGAATAATGGTACCAGTTTAGTGAGAGACTGGCAAGTGGCTAAGAATAATGCTTTGACATTCACTATTGAGTGACTTTTGAATTACCTGAATAGCATAAAGAAGTCCTCTTCACAAGAACGACACACTACTGTGTAAAGATATTGGTTCCACTCATGATCCTCTGAATTATGCTTTGAAGAACTGGAAACTTGCCATAGTCCTGTGTGCCATTTCTCCATTTCCATGTTGCTGAAATGTCTAGCTTGGCAAATTGTAATTAGTGTTTACCATAGTTAAACATTAATACTAGCATTAGACCTTCTGAGTGCCAGTTTGGGCACCATGGCAAGTTTTGATTAGAAGCACCCAGAAGCAGAGAATGGAACTGATGTACAAGAGGGAAAAGAAGGGAGTATACAAGCCCATGGCATGTTTCTAGTCCTCCAGATGAAGTGATTTTCTGTCATTGGAAGGCAGAAGACTTGTTCATTTGTTCTAAAACTTAGATTGTTGGTGATTTTGGAACGATGGAAACACTGATTTGTAACAAATCCATAGAAAAAGCCCTAAAATGAGGGTCAGTCTTTATTTAAAAATCTATATATTGTATGCATCTATTTATTTGTATTCCTGTATTTAAATGCAAATGTGTTAAAAGGGTTTTTTCATAAACTGAAAATAGAAATAATACTTATCTAGTAAAGTGGCTTCAGTTCATTTGAATAATACTGTAGATGATGAAAATTTTAAGGTGGTGGTATGAGGTTGTAGACAAGAATAAAACTGATAAGTGACAGGGCAACATTCAAATAATTTCTCAAATGTATTAACTAATGTTATAATTGGGAGGGTGAGGGATAGCACTCCCTGTAGCTTGATGCTTTGAGATATGTGTCACCTATATATCTAATTCTCAACATGATCCCATCTGTGGATACTTAAATCTTGATATTAGCACTGTGAATGGACAAGACAGATCATTATGCAAGCCCGAAAAAGCCCCAGGCTTGCAGAAGAATCTGAAATCTAAAAAGAAAAAAACCCCAAATGATAAAGGAGCACATATGCCTTTAAGAAATTAATGTCCTCAGTGGCTGGTGCTAGGCAACCACAACAATATTGCCAGTTGAAATCTTCGTTTCTGTTAGAACAAGGCAGTGGGGTGTGTGTGTCAGGGCCTTTCCAGGGGAGGACTTACCAGGGTCATGCCTGGCAGCAAGAATTGGACTATTTGATACCACACAACCAAGGTTGTGCACACACACAAAAAAAAAAATCGGAATTTTTCAGATTTGGATCTACCTAACCCAAAAAATTTCGGTATTTGCTGATATTCCTGAATCCCAGTATCGGTATAAGACTGGGGTTTGAGAATTATCAGGCAAGCCAAATAATTCTACTCAATTATACCCAATAGGGACTGTCCCAATAGGGTATAATAATCCCCCCCAGATGGGGGGGGGGGTTCCCATCACTGAAGGAAAGACAAATTGCCTTCCCTTCAATGAAGGGAGCATGCCGCCTCTGCGGTGCGACTCCAGAGAGGTTTAAAGTTTAAATCCCCCAGAGTCACGCCACAGAACCGGGACGCTCCCTTCATTGAAGGGGGAGGCAATTTGCCTTCCTTTCAGTGATGGGAGCTGGTTGCCCGCCGAGCTTGGCCCCCTCAGCCTTCCCGGGCTCGCCCGCCTGGGATCCAACTTACAGCAATCTCCTTTCCTTTATCCTTTCAACAACCCTGTGGGGTAGATTAGGTGGACAACCAATCCAAAGACACCTAATGAATCCACAGCACAGTGGGGATCCAAACTTGGGTTTCCCAGATTCTAGTTTGAAACATTCTAACCACTATATCATACTGGTTTTCATGGGGTGGCTGCTGTTGAACAGTAGCAAGCAACCAGGCATAAGAGTTGTGTGTAGGGATGTACATTCAGTTCGGACGAACTGAAAAACAAAACAAATAATGCCTATTTGGCATTATTCGGGTCTGCCGAAAGCCGAATCAGATTCTCTAATCTGATTTGGCTCGCCGAACAGGGATTCCCCGAATGGATGCTGTATATTCGACATCCATTTGGAGAATCCCTTTGCTAGGCGATGAAGGCACAGGGAGGCATTTAAATGCCTCCCTGTGCCTTCATCGCCTAGCAAAGGGATTCTCCAAATGGATGTCGAATATACAGCATCCATTCGGGGAATCCCTGTTCGGCGAGCCAAATCAGATTAGAGAATCTGATTCGGCTTTCGGCAGACCCGAATAATGCCAAATAGGCATTATTTGTTTTGTTTTTCAGTTCGTCCGAACTGAATGTACATCCCTACACACAACTCTTATGCCTGGTTGCTTGCTACTGTTCAACAGCAGCCACCCCATGAAAACCAGTATGATATAGTGGTTAGAATGTTTCAAACTAGAATCTGGGAAACCCAAGTTTGGATCCCCACTGTGCTGTGGATTCATTAGGTGTCTTTGGATTGGTTGTCCACCTAATCTACCCCACAGGGTTGTTGAAAGGATAAAGGAAAGGAGATTGCTGTAAGTTGGATTGTGTTTCCATTGTGGACAAAGACAGGGAGTAAATAAAAATAACTGAAGGGGGAGCAGATAAGATAGGTTAGTTAGTGGGCATGAGAGAGAGAAGCAAGCAGGGAAGGGTGAAGATATGGGGGCTGCCAGAAGCAGGAAAACAGTGTGGGGAGGGGATACAGGAGAAAGTGAGGTACCCCTGCAAGTCTTTGCAGATCTCCCACTACTGAACTGGGGCCCAGCTCAGCCAGCACGGCACAACTTGGACAGTTTTCCCAGGGAGAGGCTGCCAGGGGGAGGGAAGGAGGGAAAGCTGAAGAGTGGCACAGATAAAAGGTTAGCTTGGTGGACAGGAATGAGAGAAGGAAGCAGGGAAAGGGAAGAATATATGGGGGTTGCTAGGAGGCTAGAGAGGAGGAGTATAGGCAGGCGGATTGGGGAAAATGAAGTGAGTTCAGCATGTCTTTGTGGGTTCTCAATTTGTATCTTTGTAAGAAAAAAGCAAGAGTTGCATGAAAAGAAAAATACTGCATTCTATAGCATTGCAAGGTCGATATGGAGAGATCATGGTCTGATTACAGACCTGAGACTTTTAAACCTGGGAGACACTTAAGCTATCATCTTATCAGTTACAGAAACAGAAATGAAGTCTAATTCTGAGGAGTGGTGTTTGCAGTGTGGGACGAACTTGTCATGGGGTGGTGTGGTATTCAGGGACATGCCTGTGGGCCATTGGGGCTGTACCTGAATCTGGGTTAGGGGAGCCCTCCCTATCCTGTATTAAAATGATTATTTTTCCCCACAGGGAAAACTACCCCCCAGTACAGTTTGTACCTACTTTTGCTGTCGAATAAAGCTGTTGTTTAAAAGAGTCCTGACCTGGATAAGCCAGGCTTAGCTTGATCTTGTCAGTTCTCAGAGGCTAAGCAAGGTTGGCCCTGGTCAGTATTTGAATGGGAGACCACCAAGGATTGCTGGATTCCAGGATTGCTGTGCAGAGACAGGCAATGGCAAACCACTTGTGAATGTCTATTGCCTTGAAAACCCAACAGAGTCTCCGTAAGTCAGCCATGACTTCATGGCAAAAAAAGGAAGGAAAGGCAAGTCTACCTTCTTCTGTCAGAATTTGTCTGGTATAGGGTAGCCCCACAGAAGGCAGAAAGGAGCTTCAAAGCTTGAAGTACAGCAGGAGAGGCTAATTCTGAACTTGGGAAAAAGAACAGTTGCTCGGAGAACAGTGTATTTGCTAGACAGAAAGCTACAAGTAGGTGTGCTTTGTAATTACAGACAGCCTTGTGGCCAGCACTGTGCCCTACACCAATTGACAATACTCACTTATTCAGTGCTTTGAGCGATTACTGAGTCTGTTCACAATCAATCAACTTTGCAAACAGCAAGACAGCAGTTATGGTCATACAGTACAACTGGAAAATAGTAAGATGATTGCTCAGCTCAGTTATGGCAACTATTATATGAAATTATGTAGCATACCGGCTTACACTGTGAATGGTGCTTGGAAGCTGCATTTGCTCACAGACTCCCAGTCCATGAACATTACTGGTATACAATAAATTAGAAATATGTATGAAATCACACTTTCATACACACAAATGACTCTAGATTCTCCTGTGCATCCTGCAGCAGTCAAAAGCAGCTGGATGTATTCTACTGTATGATCCTCAGTTTCTGTTGCACAGTTAAGAGATGATGGACATAATGGGAGTATGATTTGAAAGCAGATAATTCCTGCAAAACAGATAACTTAAAACATCACTTCAGGCACACGTAAAGCCAGTAGACATGGCTTTTATTTCTTCTCTGTCATATGCTTAGAGTGAATGGCAGCTTGTTAAGGGGTTTGAAAATGAAAGGTGTAAACCCAATGTGTTTCTTGCTGGATTTTGTTACGTAAAGTTAATCAAATTTTATAGCCTCAATTAACATTTAAAATATTTCGCTCAAGATGATTATACATTTGCTCAGTAATCTTCAGCATACCTGTATGGTATGGTAGGTCAGTCCTGACTCTTAATTGCTGCAACATAAATTTAAGCTTTTATCTTATTAAACTAATTCTGTATTCATATCTCAGTCAAAATTCAAACAAGGATTCAGCTACTGGTTTAGTTCCAGCTGCTGAATAAAGTATCTTTAGTGGGTTTGTAGTATTGCAGGTAGAGCACTACTTAAGTACTGCCTATTTGAGAACTGCATGCTGGGGATGCTACTCACCGGCCCCACCAGCTGCACCAGTATTCCTCTGGCCATTGCCCTGAGGGCATTTTCTGTTGCTTGGGAACCAACATCAGCAGTCTGCCACTACTTGGAAGCAGCTATTTGAGAGTACAAAGTTAGCTTGCCTTGAATGCCATCATAGCACACCTCAAATGATACCTATACCATGTTGCCTAGGTGTTAGTTGGCAAATTATCTTGTAGCACACTGGCTTCATATTTTTATCTGTTAAGCCTGTAAGAGGTTAGCCTCTTTGTTATTTTAGCATATGTTAACCCTCTATACAGAGATGCCCATGAGCACTCACAGCATTTATGATAGCACAGAAGGTTGTGTGGTTGCTTGGATACCAGCTGTTGGTTCAGTTCTACATCCATGTGATGCTTTTTGGTTAGAGCTGCTTTGCTAGATTCTCAGTGTGGAATATCAAGATTAAAAAATTGGAGACTGCTTTCTAAGCCAATAGCTGTGGTCGTTATCTGACCTCCGATGATATTTTAAGTGTCACTATTAACGCAAGCAAGTCTGAGAGTACCTGTGTTTCTGTTCTGCAGTTTGACCTCACCAGCTTACTCATAACCTTCCCTCTCATTAAGACAGGAGAGAAAGGCTCTAGAGAGGCATGTTCCCATACCACCCGCTTTCATATTTTATAGCAAGTTAGTTGAATAAAACTACTGAGGTCAGGCTCTTGTTAGCTGGATATATTTCTTTTTTCACAGAACACTGGTTGAAGTAGAGAAAACTGGCATTGCACTCTGTTGGTACAACAATATGTTCACAGAAACCAGTAAAACATCCATCTGTTAGCACAGAAAACTCTAATGGTGTTCAACCTGTCAAACTCAGGAGTTCTGCTCCAGTGTCTCTTGCACTTCTATCCTTTTATTATTAACTGTTTCAAGGCCAGTGGCTCTCATCTAGCAGAAGAATAATACAGAACAGACATCATGCAGAATGATGCTTTCTTCTACCTGCCAGCTGTCTTTGTCTAAATTTATTTCCAACTCATTTTTATTAAAAAAATAAAAAATGCTCCAACTCTCAGTTTTACAAGGCATACAAAATCTCAAAAAGGGATACACAAGAGCAAGGTGCTGAGGTATGAAAACACCTGAGGTAGTTTGTTTGTTTTTTTCTTTTTGAAAAAAAGTTGCAATTTTCATGCCCTGGGCCAACAACCTCTTGTCGATCCCCGTTTTAAAAACCCACTTCCCACAGTATTGGTGGCAGCATCCTACATGCAATAATGTACCAAGGGTGCAGTTTTCCATGTGAGCTGGGTGGAGAGATCCCTCCCCTCCCCCTGGAAACCTAGGTCTCACTGAAGCTTGGCATCCCGATAAGCAAAGTGGAAGTTGTGGCTGGGTAGATTTGTTTTTCTCTTTTCTATAATGTGTTTACTCGGAGCACTGCATTGTCTGGTGGTATAAAAGGAGAGACTGTATGCAAAAACCAGTTTTGAGATCTGTGAAGCAAAGAGAAGGTCACATGAGCTGGAGAAAGAAATGCATAGAGATTCCTCTGCTAACGAGACGGTATCCCTTCTGTTGGCACATACAGGCGATCCAAGATGGCACGCAGATGCCATTAGTCTTCCTAAAATCCTTCTACATATAGTTCTTTTTCTTTTTAAACTCCTGTTTTT